ATTATTCTGGCATACCTTGGTTATATACAAACGTGATCACCTCTCACCATAAGATGGAAAATCACAATTACACAAACGATAGACTGGTAACAATTTAAGAACAGTACTTTATGGTTTAAATTGAAGCTAATTAAAAACAATAATATGGACACAATAATCCAGGTACTTTACAACAAAAATATGAGTGGTTTCGAAAAGTCCCAACTTTTGCAATATTCTTTCTATTAAAATAGCTCTACGATGTAGTTATTTAGGTCTGCATCCTTGTGGATCGTCTTGAAATGAATAAGAGGGCAATTAGTTCGCTGTCTAAGATCAGTATTCATTAATACAATGGATTTACAGTGTTTCATCTCATGATCACTCTGATTTTAGTACGTTGCCATGGCTTAATCTTTGGACATCCTCAAAGTACTGTAGAATTATATTCATTATTGTTTCTTAATACATACAGTTTCTTGTAAAAATTTTCTGCACTGTCTTTATGGTAAGAATTTGGTTTGGAACGATGTATGTGTTTGATGAATTAGCTAACCAGTAAGGCAGTGCATGAAATCCAAATGGATTTCCGCGTATTTAACTTTTTTATGCTTCAAATGGCGTGTATTGTATAGATGACATTAGAAGCTTTTGAGTATCTATGACTTCTGTGAAAGTTTTGACAAAACACAACGGAACCTTAAAAGGTTCATGTATACAAATAGATTTAATTCAATTTTTTTAGTGAAAGATATGGATGGGAATGATCAATTATGTATCATTGATGGCGTGATGACGAGATTTAGTTACTTTGTATATATATACCTGGACAAGTGGTGCAACATGTGTTGGAGTGAGAAATGCCATGCTATTTTGTTTTTACTGCGAATCCACTTTTCTCTATCAGGATGCCCTTGGGGTATTAAGTTTATTTTGAATTACTATTTCAGATAAGCGTGCAGGATAGACAAGCATGATTTTCTATAAATAAATATATCGTAGAACTGATCTTAGAGCAGTTTATAAATTTCCACATAGAAGTTGTCAGGAGCATATATCTTAGTCTAAATTAAATCCTAGTCACCCATCATATGTTAACAAATTTTGAGTTTCGAAGCAAAGTTTTCTAATTTCAAACTTACCTTGGAGATCATAATCCACTCTTCCGATTTCAGAGATGCTATAGAAACTTATTATCTTCCACGTATTCACGGTAAACACTTCATTTATTTGACCTATCCCCGATCTTATGTAGGATGTCTTGATAAGTAAATACATGGTCATGCTGTTTGGAATGTAATGCACATATAAATAACATAGTGAGTTGATTGTGTTGCTGCATCAGACGACAGTTTTTCTTGAAAGGGAAACTTTAAACCCGACCAGACGGTTAGTCATTAGATTTACCATGGTCATGGGGCTGTTACTCAGTACCTCGACAGTGTATTATGATAGCTGATTAGAGGTAGTTTTATGAATTACATCACAGACTAACTTTAGTCAGATAATTGAAAACTAGGAAGCAATGGGTCGCTGCTTTGTTCTTGTGCTAATATTCTCAATGTTGTTCACCTACAACCTGGTGGGAATCGAACCCAGGGTCTAGGTATCGCTGTTAGCAGTTAAATTTTAGACCACTGAAGCAGCAGGCAGTAGATTACAATCAATTAGCGATATTGCGCAACCATTTTCTAATCTCTTTTTCCTTTAACTGTCTCACACTCAATATGTTTGTACTCCACTGAATTCAATGGAGCTGACCTATTCAGCAGTTTCTCAAAGTTGGTTTGTTCTCTGAGCTGGATGTTTTGGTCGTGTTCCTCAAAGTATTCTACTCATCTGTTCTTGAAACTCAGCGGTTGTATTATTTTCTTTGTCCTTGACCGGTCTCTCTGGGTTACTTTATTTCCCTACCAGTTTCTTCGTTGTGTCATATAGTTGTTTGATATTCTGGTCACGCTCAGCTTTTTCTGACGTCGTTGTTAGGTCTTTAATGTATTTCTGTTTGTCAGCTCTAATGCTCCTCTTTACTTGCTTGTTGGCTACTGTGTACTCAACTCTTATTCGATTGCTGTTAATTGCTGTATTCTCGTTCTTCCTTCAAACTTGTCCAGGGTTGCCATGGAGATCCATTTCTTATGATGATGGTTCTTGTGGCCCAGAACCTCCTGACACATTGAAGTTAATGCTTCTTTCTTCCTTTCTACTTGCTCTCTATCGTGATTTCTTCCTTCAATAGATCTTGTACAGCTTGAAACCTGTTGTTGAGAGTTAACTTGAATAGGTCGAGCTTTTCAGTATCTCGAAGTAAGGCTGTATTGCACCTTTGTAATGCTGTTCCCCTAGGTTTCCAGTGATTTTTTTTAGCTTCAGTTCCATCTTGGCCACAAACAGGTGGTGACCTGAAGCTATGCCAGCTACTCACATCTCCCATTGTCCTGAATTTTTTTTATACAAATACGATCTATCTGGTTCTCTGTTGTGTGGTCCGGCGAGATCCATGTAGCTTTGTGTATGCGTTTGTGTGGAAATGTTGTTCCGCCTATAATCAATTTGTAGAATGCCCATAAATTTGAAAATCTCACCCTTATAGTTCTCTCCCAGTTAGTTCGTATCGTCCCATGATATCTTGATACACAGTGCCGTCCATCCTAACTTTAGCGTTTAGATCTCCCATCAGGATGGTGAGGTCCTTCCTAGAGCACTTAGCTATGATTGATTGCAGACTCGAGTAGAACTGATCTTCATTTTCATCGTTGCTATCATTGATGGGTACATAACGTTGTACAACATTCATTATGATTCCCTCCTTTATTGTGACTGATACTTTGATGACTCTGGGTGCGTTTCGTGCTTTTTAGGATAGCATCAGAACATATCCCTGAGTGTGTGGAGCATTTTATTTTTCGTGACTAGAGTGCAGAAGCATCTCTTTTATATCTTGCCTTTGGTGTCCAACTTGGATCCATTGGGTTTCACTGATTCCGACAACCGCCAAGTTGTCTCCTCATTTCCGTAAATATTTGATTGATCTTCTCGGTCTTCAACATTGTCTGAACATTCCATGTACCTATATAATTTGTTACTGGTTGTTAGCAGGGATATAGACGTTGTGACTGTTGAACAATCTGGGCGTTCTTCTTGATTCTTCATAATTCTTCCTTTAACTTGGATAGTGGAGTTTAAATTGTTTATTCTGGTTAGTATGATTTCAGCAATTTTGTTTTTTAAGGTATGTGGTTACTGACCACATGTCGTATCAACGTTCTGCATGTGAGCTTTGGGCTGGCAGTTACTCTAGAAGAGCTACAAGTGGAGTTGATGATATATTAATACTATTAGTATATTAGATTCATGTAGCTTGACGTATATCCATTTAGATAGGAATGACAGAATTTCTTGACAATGATTAATTGTCATTTATCTTCACTTGTGTACGCTTACAAACAGTTTGTCTCTGATGAATTTTTCTAAAAGGAAGGATACATTCGATGTAGTTATCTATATTTTTTTTTCAAATTAGGCGGCATGTATATCAAACATTCTGGTCGTTGTAATTAATTTTGCACTCAAGAGCTGCCCGTCTTATTACATGCAGTAAATTTCCATAATTAGTTAGCCGAGACAAAAAGAATGAAATTGAAAATTTATTGTAATGTTTGTACAGTACACACAAAAATAAATGCAGGAGAAGACGACCAATGTAGCAGCAGTAGGTCTCAATAAACACAAAGGGAAAAGCAAGATTCTCAGATACAACACAGCATGCACCAATCGAATTACATTTGACGAACAAGCTCTGAAGGATGTGAAAACCTTTACATATCTGGGCAGCATCATTGACAAACACTGTAGATCTAATACAGATATGAAGACACGGGTCGGTAAAAGAACATCTGGAACTCAAAGCAACCAAAAGCAAGATCAGAATTTTCAATACAACTGTCAAGTCAGTTATACTGTATGGGTCGGAAACTTGGAGAACTACGAAAGCCGCCATCCAGAAGATACAAATGTTTATTAACAGTTGTCTACACAAAATATTTCGGATCCGTTAGCTAGACACTATCAGCAACAAGCTACTGTGATAGAGAACAAACCAGATTTCAGCGGAGGAAGAGATCAGGAAGCGCTGGAATTGGATAAGTCACACATTGATGAAATCACCCAATTGCGTTACAAGACAAGCCCTCACATGGAATCCTGAACGTGAATGAACAAGAAGAAGACCAAAGAACACATTACCCTAAGACATGGAGACGGACAACAATTCGAGGGAAGGCCCAGGACAGAAGGAGTTTGGAGAATGCTGTTCGGCAGTCTATACTCCATTGGGGGTAACAGTGGTATCTAAATACATTTAAATAATAGATTAATCAGATCTCTGACCCATCCATGTCTAGATATGTTAACAAGTGTTGTGTATAAATCTTAGTGATTATACTTTTTATTGATGAAATTCAAATATGTGTCAAGGTTATTTAAAAAGATAATTATTTAAAATTTATCATAGTTCAACAATAGATTCTTTTGAATATCAGAAAAAAAAAGTTTTTATTGTTTTATATTCAATATTCAAATTATTCTCATCAAAAATACTTTTGTTTATATACATTTTCGGCGGGACTTATATATATGTACATGAAATAAGTAATAAAAAGATCAGTAGTATTACAAAAAACAAGAAAATATAAAAGTGAATAATGATAATTTAGTTTCAATATATAGTTGAAATCATGAATCAATTGAAGCTAGATCATCATGGAAAACCTGGAAGAACTGGATTGCCGTCATGTCCTAGTATAGGACTCCTTAGCAATGCGCATCCACGATCACGTCTTGCAATATTCGAGCCCAGTACCTACCAGTCTCGTGCACGAGCACTTAACCACTAGACCATTAAGTCGGCATCCAACATTGTCAATGTCTAACTCCAATCAATCCATGAAGTTTCCATATTTGAAATCAATAAAACAGTTTTGGTTTTTCAATAAAAAAAAGAAGAAAAAAAAGATCATCAATCATAAATTTCTTCTCCATTGTGGTATCATTCTTCCAGTATTTACACTTAAATCAAGACCTTGATTAATAATTGATTGTTCTTTTGGTTGAGTTAAACGAATTTCCCATCCTTTTGTTAATTGACATAAACGTTGTGGATCACGTGTAACTTGTATATTAGTCTGTTCAATGAAAAATAAAGTGATTATGAAGGTGAAAATAACCTGTCTAATTATAGAAACTAAATGTAGAGTAATGGTTAAAGTAATCTACTTTCAACCAGTCCGTAGATCATAAACTTCAATATTGTTCTACCTTCTTTAATTCAGGAATTAGGTTTAATATGACTAGCCTTCACACAAATTAGTATATCTCAGTGCTACCTGGTAAACGAATTATAATCAAAGCATTGTAGTGTGATTTTAAATAAATTTAGAACAAATATTGATGTAGAATAATATGAATTCATTATATTTCGTGGTTTCTCATTAGCTGCTTACAACCAAATATGCATTAGAGTAATAAATAATGTGGAACAATTGACATAATTGAATGTAAAGGATTGGAATAACAAAAGTCATCGATGATAACTATATATATGGGCAAGGAAAGGTCAGAGGTTATTAGGTATTGAAATAAAGGGAGGCGTAATAGTTGAGTGGAGTTCAGAGACAGATAAAATCAAAAAATGTGATTATTTTAGAGGTAGTTGAAAACAATTAGGGTGGTTTACGTAATAGTTGAATAAGATTTGGATAGTTCATATAATTAGGAGAGACAAATGAGCGGAAATGTGTGAGAGAAAGGGTGATTTAAGAATTGGGTATAAAAAAAAACAACAACTGAAATATTAAACAAAATTGAACTAATAACAACAACAAAACTGAAACAAAAAGAAAAACAAAAATGGGTTACCAAGGTAGTAATAAGTTTATCACTGTCTCTTTTTGAATACATAGGTCCGGTTTGAGTTTTTTTATCGCGATCGCCTCAGCAAACCGGAGGGCAGTTGTACTTCTTTGTTTACTAATGATTTTAAAGGCATGAGAAATGTCGATGCTGTGCCCGGTGTCGAGTAAATGCCGAGTTATCGCACTGTTGAGAGTCCTAGACCCTTGCAACCTCAGTTTCTTGGGAACATGCTCAGAAATGCGGACATGCACTCTTCTCTCGGTTCTTCCAATGTATGTGCTTCGGCACGTACATGTAAATTGGTAAATGCAGTTGGAGGTACTGAGAAAAGAGGACTTATCGATTTTGGTTTGTTTGAGTGAGCAGTTTGTTTCCCACACCGTCGTCAATTTAGCTGCTGGGTAGGTCATTTTCAACGCGGAATTAAGTCTGTGGTTAATTATTCCAGCGATTTCGACACCTTTGAAGCGTAGGTATAGGAAGCATGTTTTCTTTTCAACTCGATCATACTTTATTAGACGATTGGTGTTTGCATATTTGTGGATGAACTTCTCTGGATATGCATTTTCACGTAGGCATTTGGTGATTAAAGCTATTTCTTCCTCAAGACACTCATTAGAGCAGATTTTGCGTGCGCGGTCGAAAAGGTTTCGTACAATACCCTTTTTGTAACTCATCGGGCAGAAACTGTAGTAATTGAGATACAGTCCACTCCAAGTGTTTTTGTGATGAACATATCTTTGTAATGTACCCGCTGGTGTTCGTCTAATTCCAATATCTAGGAAATGGAATTTATCTTCGTCTTCATGTTCCATCGTAAATTCTATATCCTTGTGTGCTTTGTTAAATAAATTGAGCAGATTGATGGAGTGTTTATGATTGTCGCAAACAAGAAAGGTGTCATCCATGTAGTGTGGTCTACTTATATTCATATAAGTAGTATATGATGATGGTCAGACATAGAATGTATTTTAGAAGAAGACCGATAAGGAAAGAACTGAAATAAAATGCAGTTGGTGGGAAAATGCATGAACAGAGGAATTAGAGAAAGATGTACTGATATATACAGAATGAACAGTGAAGATTGAGACAATTGATTGTTATTTAGCAAATAAACTGCTTGCCGTATGGTTATCAGATCTTAGTAAGATAGTTTGTAGTTTGTGCTTAAATACATTCGATTGTCCCGACCCGTGTTTTGTTCACTACAGCCTAATGTATGAAATCTAAGGTGAAAATAAGCTTCGCCTGTAGGTCTTATAGAGTTACTGCCGATCCAAAGCCAGGTTAAACAAGGAGGATTAGGCATAGGGGTTAGTGACCCCAGCCTGTAGAAAGCTAACTCGCTTAAAAAACGTTAACCAGAACTGATGGGTGACCTATGCTCCTCCACGAAGGGTAAGTAAGCAAGTAATGTGAAAATTGATGTTTACTAGCTACAGAAATCAATAATAAGAGAGCAGTCATTCAGTTATATACAACTTAAAATGTAGTACAAATGTTGACAAGTTATATTTAAAATTTTAAGAGAACCTATAACGTTTCATACAACCAAAACCCCTTTTCTTCTTGTTTTCAAACTGAATAACCAAATGAAGACAATGGTGAATGTTTCCTCAACTTTGTGGATTGGTTGGAGTTAGACAATAACACCATTAGATGCCGGCTCAGTGGTCTAGTGACTAAGTGTTCGCGCGCGAGACCGATAGCTTTTAGGTTCAAATCTCGCGAGGCGGGATCGTGAATGTGCACCGCTGAGACGTTCTGTACTAGAACGAAACGGCCATCCAGTGCTTCCAGGTTTTCCATGGTGGTCTAGCTTCAATTGACTCATGATTTCAACTATATGAATAACCAACTGTAAAAGCTTTCATTTTTTTATTTTTAAAAGAAACTATTCACTAACCTTAATTGGAATTTGTTCTAATAATTGTTGTCGAGGAATTTCTGCTTGTTGTTTAGCTTTTTTACGTGAAGATAATTGATTCAAATGAGTAATTATCTACATAAAATATGATTCATAATGATTGAAGAAAAACAAAACAATTTAGTTTAGTTTATTTATTACTATTATTAATGTTTGATACAATCTTGTGGTTATAAGCAAAGATGGTTAGTGGCTAGCAGTGGAATGGAGATTGACGCACGTTTCGTCCTATTTGGGACTAGTCAGCTGAATGTACCTGCATCTCAGAGTTGATATTCACTCTGAGACACGAACCCATTAACTTTCACTTCAAACACTATCACGTTATCCATTCATCTACGGAGTCCTGATAGTCACCTGCTTGTGCAACGGAATGAAGGTGATCAGTCTCTTGTTGGCATATATATATAGTGTGTGTACCCCGTTGCACAAACAGGTGACTATCAGAACTCAGTAGCTAAGTGGATAACACGATGGCGTTTGAAGCGGACGGTACTGGGTTCGATTCTCAGAGTGAACATCAACTCTGACATGGGGGTACATCCATCTGTCGATCCCCAAATAGGACGAAACGCGCGTCAAACTGGATTCCATTGCTAGCCACTATCCATCTTTGCTTATAATACTTGTGAATTAAAGCAATATCCAGGCAATGCACACAGTATTCTTATTATTTGATACAATCTTGTAGTTATTCACATATTCTTAGTAGTTGAATTCAAGCCAAATGTTTTGTGTATGTGTGTATATGTTGAAATTATGTTAAATATGTACCTGAATAGTAATAATTACGATTCAATTTGAACTAATAAATATGTAAAATGATGTAAATCATTTATTGAATCTTTTTTCTTATGGAGAAATAAATGTGTCATCATTTCATCATTCATTTCACATAGTAACTGATTATTATAATCATGATTATGTTTACTCTGTCAAGTTATAAATTTTGACAGTGATATATTAGGAAGTATAGTGAATTGATTTTGTTAGAAATAATTTTTCTATCCATTTGTAAGTAGCAGAAATGTGCCATTTACATGCCCTTAAATGCCTTGCTACGGTTGAGAATGGGGAGAGTAAGCTCTCTCACTCTCGAAATGCTCTCTAATGGCCACGTGTATATAGCTTCTGCAAACGAAGTCCTACTTAACCGCATTCTCGTGGAAGGGTGGGGTGTTGTTTACGAAATTGAGAGGATGAATAGCAAATGTCCAGTGCTTCAACCTAGTTAGTGGACACGGAAAGTTCACGTAGAGGAGTTAGAAAACCCTGATTTCAAACCAATGGTGAACATGGTCTCCAGTATTCTGAGGGAACAAATGGTGTATGAATCAATCATTGGTCACTGGCTTCCATGGAACTGCATCTCCTCACGATGCTCCAAAGCCTTGTGGATCAGATCTTTAGGTCAAACGCTCGGGGTGTGGCTCCCTGAGTAAACCATCTACTTCAGTTTGAGCACCTGGGCAGTATCACAGCCCTCATACAAATCAAATGAGATTAGTGTGGTGCATATGTATCTGGTTCCCACCTTTGTGCCAATATTTATGTGTTTATATCAATAAATAAGTCATAAATAAGAAAACAATTTTACTCTTTGCTCAATTCGACTAGCAGCATCATTAATCTTTTGTTGACGAATTTGTTGTTCCATTTTTGTTTGAATCTTTAATTGATGAAGTGCAGTTAATTTCTCAGCCATTTTCTCTTGTTTATATAAAGAGATTTTATGTTGAATTTTTGCCTTGAATAATAAAAAAAATATAAAATAAATATTGGTATTGCCAAACCAAAACGTGGCATCAGAGCTGGAAGTCACTAACTTCTAGTCTAAGCCATTTTGGCAGATGCAGGTTACCTGATTGGGGTCCGCGTGACTATCGCAACCAATGGTTGGAGACTCTAGGTGACATGGCTCGCAATCGATCACAATGGAGCAGATGTATACACTCTTTATCTTCCCTTAAACCTTCAGATTCAAATTGCCTCATATCTGTCTTTTTTTCTATATTATATCCTCATATACAATGTTTCTTTTATATAGCCACCAATAAATTAACTATTTCTATGAATCTTGTGTTGATCTTGTTGTGCTAACGAGGTATGGCAACTAGGACCGATGCACATATGTGCCTGGTTCTACGTTGTAACTGACTGACTGTTTGATTGTAATATTTGGCATGGAACATTAAACAAAACAACACACTGACACTGGGATTGAACTGCAGCATTAAATACATGCAAATGAACCCATTAAAACAGTATTGATAGGTTTTAAATTAGAGATATCACTATTCGGTACAACTTGACTCATTCTTGATTGTACCAATTATTGGTTAACAGTTTCAAACTTCTTGTATAAGAACTTCCATCTAAATTAGAACGAATAGTTTCACAATATTCCGGCGCCTATTTGTTGTTAGACTTTAAATATGAAGAATATGTTTGTAAAATTTCAGCGAATAAATTTGAAGTAAATCCAACTTTTCGTCTGGCAATCTGCTCCAATCTTTTTCAAGGAAATAAACTTCTTGTTTACCAACTATAGATTAAAATTCGTTTTAACGAAGTGACAATGGAATGTTATGTGTACTTATTTAATTCTACGGAATGTTTACAATCTATTATTTTGTTTAATACATCTGTTATCTTCAGATAGTGGTACGGGTGACCGGTTATGCAAAATCAGTCGAATTAAATTGGACGGAACACTTGTTCTTTAAGGTTTTGTGATGACAGCTTAATCTATTAGGTACCAGTAAGATCAAAGTTACAGAATTTTAAGTAAGATTGCACAGGTGTATCCCCTATTCCATTGAATTGTGATGTCAGTAAGCCATTTCCATTAGAAAACCTGTTACAACATTGAGATGGTTTGTCGTTACGAAATGTAAAAAACTTCAGCAGAAATACTTCAGTTTCTAGTCTATTTTCCCTTTGATATACACTGGAGAAATAATACACAAGTTTCTTCTGTAATCGTCCATTGAGGCTTTATTGCCAGTAAAATAGCTTGGAACTATAAGCTGAGTTATCTATTGAGCCGCTGAGTCATGAAAACCATCTATTAACTGATAAATCTTATTTACTGATGTTTATCATACATAATTGTATATCAGAAGGAGGTTTTGTGGAGATTTTTAGTAGTGTTATACAGTTGAGATCATGAGTCAATTAAAGCTAGAGTACCATGGAAAACCTGAAAGCACTGGACCGCCGTTCCGTCCTATTGTGGAACTCTTCAACAGTGCCCATCCACGCTCCCGCTTCACGAGATTCGAACCCAGGAACTACCATTCTCGCGCGATAGACCACTGAGCCGGCATCCAGCGGTAAAACTTAACCAATCCACGAAGTTTCGCACCGCTGAGGAGTCCCACAATAGGACGAAACGGCCGTCCAGTGCTTCAAGGTTTTCCATACTGGTTTAGCTTCAATTGACTCATGATCTCAACTATATGCAATTGTAAATATATATATATATATGTTTATAAATGAATACCTAGAACATACTTGTCTTTTACGTTTCAATTCTAATTCAGTTTGTTTTGATTGATATTCAGCTTGTTTTTTTAATAACTCCGCTTGTTTCTTAATTTCTTCTCTTTGATTACGCCATAATTCTAATTCTGCTTTTCTAGTTTCTAATTGACTTATTGATAAATGTTGTGTGATCGGAGTTCCAATGGTATCATTATGATTATCATTTTTCTCTTCAGATTGTTTTTTATGTTGCATAGTTAAACGCTGAAAAAGTTTATAAAAGATTCAGTTTACAATATTATTGATATTGAATTATTTTTTATAAAAGTATACCTGATAGGATTGTACTCCACTGATCACAGCTTCTCCCTGGAACGACGATTGAAACACAGAGAATTACCTCTCGAAACTAGTCAATAGTGAATACATGAGAATTATCAGTATAGAGTACTGATAATCACTGATAATTATCACGTGCTCATGAGTGAATAGCTTCGAGAAAGGAATTTATGGAGTTCAGGTGAGAAACCGTGACCAGTGGAGTTTATCCGTATCAAGTGCGAGGCAGTAGGTTACTTACAGAAGACAATGAAAGATGGTCACGCGATATCGCGGATTGATTAAAATCATTCAATGTTGCCTAAGTATTCTAAAGTTTAAGCACTCGCAGGTTCTGGAGCCAAGTCCTACGTGTGGGATCGTGAATGAGTAGTTATGAGGGTTCCCATACTAAGACGAAACAGCCATTCAGTGCTTCCAGGTTTCCAATGGTGGCCTAACACTGATTAGTTCATGATACTGAACAATCAACGGAAACCTACGATGATAAATATTAAACACTTCATTAAATTAACAAATCAAGTATTATTTATTATAGAAGGGGGTTTGGTGGAGATTTTAGTGATTTTATATAGTTGAAATCATGAGTCAGTTGAGGGTATACCACCATGAAAAGCCTGGAAGCACTGGACATTGACCCCGGGGGATGCCGGCTTAGTGGCCTAGTGGTTAAGCGCTCGCGCGCGGGACTAATAGGTCCTGGGTTCGAATCTCACGAGGCTTGATTGTGGATGCCCACTGTTAAGGAGTCCCAAAATAAGACGAATCTGCCGTCCAGTGCTTCCAGGTTTTCCATGGTGGTCTAGCCTCAATTGACTCACTATTTCAACTATATACTTTTTATTTATTTTATATAGATCAATCAGAAATAAGTCATTCTTGGACAAATCAAATCTTTTGGTTAAAATTGAGTGTTGTAAAGCAGTTTTGTTGTTGTTGTTGTTGTTGTTGTCATGCCTATTCATTCAGTTTCACTATTTCTTATAATAGAAAGTTTGATTAGTTAGAAGCTCATATAATATAATTCAAAGTTCATATTAATCATGTAGATCAATTGGATTGATGTAATAACTTGGTGAGATCTTTTTCAAGTCCCCTTATACAATAGTAAGTTAAAGTATTTTTAACTGAAGTGAATAGATTTTAGTATATCAATTCATGGTTGAAGACTTAAGCATTAGTTTCCTTCAGATCGACACTCTTTAATACGGAATATCTACAGTATTGAGGAAACTGATATAACCATTCAACCTTAGTTACATAGTTTCACAGTCGAAGGCGTTATCAACGACATGTTCCTGGCTTCACTAGCTAATACTAATTGAATTTAAACTTCAACTCATCGCATAAGCAAGTGGCTATCAGGACTCAGTGGCCGAGTGGATAACGCGATGTCGTTTGAAACGAAAGGAACTGGGTTCGAGTCCCGAAGTGAACAACAACTCTGAGATGCAGGTAAATCCAGGTGATGAGTCCCAAATAGGACGAAACCTGCTTCCTGGATTCCACTGCTAGCCACTATCCATCTCTGCTTACCATGCTTGTGAATTAAGGCTATATCGAGGCAATACACACGGTATGCATATATGCCAATTAGAGAGTGACCAGTTGCAGTCCTTACAAATTGATGGGAAGTTTCAAACAAACAATACGAAATAAATTTATTTGTAGGATAGATCACTGAGGAGTAGTAAAGTATGCATTATATCATATAGTACTCAGTGTAGATTAAGTTTTGTTAACGAAGTCGTAATATGATCAGCAGACCACCTAACAATACTCTCGCGATGATTCTATAATATGCAAGAAATTATCAGAAGACAATCATTCATATTTTTTAAAGTGATGAAGCAATACAGAATAGTCTAATGAATAGGGTATTCACTCCATGATAAGCCTGGAGGAAATCTTATCTTACTATCATTATTTAATCATGTATTCATTATATTACTAATAAAACTACTGTTAAATTATTTACTAACAATTGGACTGAGCCATGTTGGTAGGTGTAGACTACCTGGTTGGGTTTCGCGAGATGATAGCAACCGATGGTTAGAGACCTTGAATGACATGGCTCAAAATCGTTTGCAATGACGAAGATGTATCCACTCTTTGTGTTCTATCAAATTCTAATCTTCTGAATTCTTCATGTCTCTATCCTTTTTCTTTTTTCAAATTTATTTCACTGGATTATACTCCTTCAATAACATCTTCAAACCCTATTCTTTCGGATTAATGTTTATACTCTTAATACTTCTACCACTATGGAATTTGATGATTCGACAACTGCATCTCTGTGTTAATGTGATATGGCAACTCGAATTGATGTACGTACGTACGTATGTACGAAGTTCTACGTTATAACTGACTGACTGATTGATTGAATTGTACAATCTGAATATATATTAGATTGTATTCTATATTTTCTAAAAAATATATATCATCAATCAATCATTTAAAACTTTTCAATCATCTAGTAGAGAGAAAATTCTTCTTCTTTTTTTTAAATTTTTCTTTTTTTTTTTGTAAGAATAATTCGATAAAACTCGATAAGAAAAAAAAAGAAAAAATAAAGAAACCATTGATGACAGTGTTCATTTGAAATGTTACATTGTTTTAGTTTTATTGTTCAATGTTCATTATTGATCAATTTATTAGTTGAATAGTATATTATAGAATGTTGATGATTGAATAAGTGAAATAGTTAAGTTTTGTTATTCTCCATATATATATAGAGAGAGTTTGATATATGTTTGTTAGTGACATAGAAAATTTCTAGTATCATAGTGATTTTGTTTTATAAAATATCAATGAAATAATATTTTTTGTTGTTGTTGAGATCATGAATCGATTGTTGATAGATCATCATTGAATACCTGGAAGCACTGGTTGGCTGTTTCGTTTTATTATGGAACTCCTCAGAGAGAGACTAACGGTCCTGGGTTCGAATCCCATGGGCGAGATCGTGGATAAGCATTACTGAGATCGTAAATTGTACGGGAGGAAAATGATTAAGTAAATGAAATATATGATGTCAAATCTAGTAAAATACAAGATTAAGATAGTGATTAGCTAAGAAGGTGAATATTTGATGATAGTCTATTATTCTAAAGTCATAAATAAATCACATGAATGAACTCGGATTTTAACATTTCTCGAGCTCATGGGTCAATTGAAGATAGACCACCATAGAAAACCTGGAAGCACTAGACGGTCATTTCGTCTTAGTACGTAACTCTTCAGCAGTGTGCATCCACGATCCCACCTCACGAGATTCGAACCCAGAACCTATCAGTCTCGTAAGCGAGCGCTTAACCTCTAAACCACTGAGCCGGCATCCAACTGTGTTAATGTCTAACTTCAACCAACTTTCGAAATTGAGCAACCGTACACCATTGTCTTCAGTGAGTTACCATCTCACAACAGACTCGGTCGCACTCCACTGGTTACTGCTTCTCACTAGAACTCCAAGAAATACTTTTTGAAGCCAGTCACTATTGAGCATATGTTGAATAAAATCAGAAGACATTTTGTCGATATTATAGTAATTTCAATAGTTGAGATCATGAGTCAGTTGAAGCACACTGCTGAGGAGTCCCACAATTTGACTAAACGGTAGTCCAGTGCTCCCAGATTTTCCATGGTCGTCTAGCCTCAATTGACTCTTGATCTCAACTATTAAAATTTCTCGAACTGTTAACATGATTTAATTTTATATCTGCTGAATCTACTTACTATTAATAAGTAACATAGAATGTGACTACTAATTAAATTCACCAGATTTTGTATACATGGATTTTCCCATTGATGTCTAGGACAATAATTGATCAGTCTCTTATTGGCATATGTGCATTCTATTCAGACTGCCTCGATATTACTCTAATTCACATGCACGGTAAGCAAAAATGGATAGTGGCTAGCAATGGAATCCAGGACGCGCGCTTCGTTTTATCAGGACTCAGTAGCTAAATGGACAACGTGATGGCGTTTGATGCGAACGGTATTGGGTTCGAGTCCCAGAGTGAACATTGACTCTGAGATGCGGGTACAACCAGCTGAAAAGTCCCAAACAGAACGAAACGCACGTCTTTGATTCCACTGCTAGCCACTAACCATCTCTTCTTACCGTTACTATTAATTGTTGTGATTTGGTGTACTATCCCGACAAAGCGTACAATAAAAATAAACCACACTAGGAATAGTAAAATCGTTGTCATTAAACAGCGTTTGAAGTCTAAGAAAGATCTACTATAAAAACTTTCAGGAAGGACCAAGTCATTTTTTTAACAAATAATTTTTTTTCAAACAAGATCCATAGATGATTAATTCGCCTAATCTGTAAGAGTATTGCAGCATTTAGATTGGTAGAATTCAAATATGATTAGTTCACATTGAATGGTATACATATATATGTATGACACATACCCGATCTTCACTCCACTTTTTAATGACATTACGTTTTGCATTTTCAAGCCGCTGAAATTCTTTCCACCATTTTTCATGTTCAGCTACTTGTTCTGGTGTTTTAGTCATTATTATATTTGCAAGTTCATGATGAAATGCATGAATATTATCATTGACAATACCCTCATTTCTTCTATTCGCACTTTCATCTTCTACTGTTTGTTGGTCGTCATTATCTCTTGTTGAAATATTCAATTCTATTTCTTGATGATGATGATTATTATTATTTAAATCTTCATTTTCACGATCTTGAATGTTGTTTATCAATTTTTCAGGATTTTTTAACTCATTTTTATATTTAAATTTATGAATTTTGTAATGTTTTAAAAATTTAAAATGTTCATCTTCAGTCCAACCACCAGTTCGTCCTCCATGATTATCTAGGAAGTTCTATAAAATTCAGGAAGGAATTAAACATTCAATTGTTTTACATAGAGTTATATTTATTGATGTTTTAACCCATCAATTAATACTTTTGAACAATAAGAACTAAGAGAATCAGAGGATCCGGTTTTTTCATGCAAATAACCTTATGCGATTGTGTTAGCGGGACATAGATTGCATTAAAACATGTTCCATGCATGATGGTGTTGCCACACGCTGATTGGCTAATTCTTATCTAATCAGCGCCAGTCGTTGTTTGGAAAAGACTCTAGAAGCTTCTCATGTAAAAACTATAATCATACTAACGGTTTTTCTTATTGCGCTTCTTACTTCCATCTATCCTTGTTTTTTTGGAATGTGATTTCTTCCCTATTCAACCGTGTTCTGATTTGGGGACTTGTCGAGTGTATTGCTGTCCAAGGATACTAAGCAATAGTGATAGCTGGGTCATAATAAGGAAGATATATATTAGCAACAGACTATTGTTCAATAAGAGGCAAGAAATCATTTATTTTAAAGAGATGGGAAGAGGTAGAAATCTGCATACATACAGTGAGGTAATCCGCATATTTGACAAAAGTGTTTTTTGGGGAAGATGACAGACCATACGGAAAAAAAGATAACGGAAGAGTGTAAAAAGAAAAGCTCTTTGTGGCAATCCTTCTTGAATCAGTAGAGTCGTTGAACACTTTCTTCCGAATACATTGTACCATTCTCTTCTAGAGAAGTAAAAACATAGCCAGTTAGTTACCCAACTGTCTGTGTAGACACTGAATAACTTGTTAAGTAGTAGTTATCTTGCAATAGAGTTCAAGGCAGAAGTATAATTTAGAAATGTGCATCGAAACTACTTCTTACCCTTAACCAAGCTGTATAGTGTATTATAATACAGAACAATAACAGTACATATATCATAGCTTAATTTTAAAAAAAACTACAAAAAATGTGTGATACAGGATTATCAGAGATTGTTGCACAGAAAAGTAAACTCATTATTAAATTTGAAGAAATAAGGCTGGATTCAATGTATGATGTAATTAAAAACTAATACATCCATCGTCAAGAAGGTACAAGCATTTATAAATAGTTGTCTACGCAAAATACTCAACATCAATTGGCCGGATACTATCAGCAACAGCCTTCTGTGAGAGAGGACAAACCAACTTCCATCTGAAGATGAAATTAGGAAAAGACGTTGGAAGTGGATAGGACATACATTAAGGAAATCACCAATGTGCATTACAAGGCAATCCCTAGCTTGGAATCCGGAAAGGAAGCGGAGAAGAGGAAGGCTAAGGAACACATTACGCCGGGAAATAGAAGCAGATATGAAAAGGATGAATGTCAACTGGAAAGGAAGGCCCAGGAAAGAGTTGGATGGAGAATGCTAGTGAGCAGCCTATGCTCCTCGACGAGGGGTAACAGGTGTAAGTAAGTAAGTAAGAAGGAGTACTATAAAACGTTTTTATTTTCTTAACAGCTACTTTTACTAATTCCAGCTGATAATGTGGGGGATAATATGTTTTTATTTCGTTAAAATTTTCATCTTCCATTTACTGAAATATACTTACTTGAAATTCGTTTATTTCATTAGGTAAAGTTTTATTTTCACTACTAAAACGTGTCAATAAATTGGTTGATTGTTCTCTATTTTGAAGTTTTGAATTCATTCCATCCGATATTTTTGAATCATTCTCCCAAAAACTAATTCGATGCTCCATATTTAAACAATCTTGCCATAATTCAACTTCTTGTTGAAGTAATGCTTCAGCACTAATCATTATGATAAAACAAATATACAAAAATAACCATTTAAGAACATTTTCAATAGTTGTAAAATGTCCTAGCGAGGTCGAGATAATTATCAATATATAATACCGACATGATATTCTTATGTAATACGTGAATAGATCTGCAAAAGTTTCGACCTCTGTTCATGCTTCTTTTAACGTTTAAGCCAAAATAATTCGATATATTTCAGGAACTCATACTTTACCCAGATTGTATTCTTAAACCAATTAGCGTAGTGCGTAAAAAAGTTATCAGTGAGTTTATTCAGTTGTTAGTAATTGTTTGTCTCAAAGTCGGATAGTATGCACAAAATGTCCAACATATAATTTCTAGATATCAGTTGTCTAGGAGGTGATCGTGACCGAAATCTGTGGATTAACCTACTCAGTGTATAAACTAACAATAAAGTAAAACCTACTTAAGAATAATATGCAGAAATAGCTATCAAAACATACTTTATTCAGAGTTTTTCTGTTTTCGACATCATTTGGTAAGCCTTAATGGGAAATTGGAAGGTAGACAACATATTTTAGTCTTCTTTTTATAAAAACCAGGGTTCGCAATTCGCTCAATATACTGATGTCAAGATTTTAGCTAATTATTTAAATTAATAAACCGCGTTTAGATTAATGGATTCCATAACATAATGAAGATGCTGAGCGTCATAAAAGATAAAATAACACAAAAAGTCAAGTGACTTACATCATTCTCTCCTCTGTTTTGTATTCTGTTAGAATGTCTTCAATACTTTTCAGTAGATCTTGTAACTCTTTTACAGCTATGAAAAATATCATAAATTATTTCAATGCTACATACGATTTCCATGATTTATTTGTTTATTTGCAATTTGTGATTTTTTTAAGCTAAATGATTCGACCAATGTACGGAACTTGAATAGTTTGTTATAGTATTTTTTGCCTAAAGATACGTAAGAACATTGTATATATTTGTTACTTAACAACGGTTTAATCAAACAACATACCATCCGTCAAGAGAGTTGATTTTAAACCTTGAGAATATTCTAAAATGGATTTAATGTCCTTGTGATGTAGAGATAATTTGCTCAATAATTGAATAGAATCTTTGTATAACTTTTTTGATCTTGAACAAATCAAAAAGCAAAAATATGCGGCAAGATTAATTATTTTAATTACTTACTGATAATCTAGTAGACGCAGATCAGAAGGGGAATCAGTTTGAATACGACCTTTACGTCCTGTTTCCACCATTTGATTGTTTTAAAGAACCTTCTGAGAAGAAAATTTGTGCAGCATGTACTATTAGTTAAATGCTTCAGAAAAAGATGGTCAAGTATTTATCATTCACAAGAGTGTATATTCATTTTGAAGTTTACTCACAGATATTTACAGTAGTCTAAAAAATAACAAGAGTTAAAAACTAGATACTATTGGTTATTGTAAGTAATACTTGTGAAAACATCGAAATGTACCAGACCATATTAACCTCAAGTAAATGGCGCCAAAGCGCTTTTTCAAATAAGTTTGTTATCAAAAGCCGAAGTTCAGACCGTTGCTGCTACCTCGACGTTGTGGTTGAACTTGCCTATCGTGATAACCAGTCTGGGTATACTGGCTGGAATAATATGTCCTCGAGGTCTTGACATTACAGATAGATCGGTTAAAGAACAGTAAATATAAAAGCAGCAACTTAAAATTCGAAGTAGAAATCGTACTGCTGACAACACAGAGGCATAAAGGCAGTAAGATATTTCCCTCAGACAATCAGCATAACGGTGATGCTTCCTTCTGACAAGGAAGAGTGGTGTCAGAAAAGTTCGTTCTCAAAAATACACTCCTCGCCTTTGAAGTCAGCTGGTGTGACACACCATTCCCGTCTAACATGATAAGCCCTCAATAACTTGACACAGATCAGTTATGGTTGGTGATGTACAAATATATGGTTCACGTGTAATGAATAAGGTCAATGAGTGACAAATTAAATAAAATACACTGCCTCCAATTTAGGTACATATTAAAATAATGGTATCAATTTTGTTCTTCTGACTAGTTTTGAGTTGTATATCCCAAACTATTAATGAGTAGATCACGGTGAGTCAGTCAATAAACCTGAATCAAGAAGTCTACAATTCCTGACATGCACCGGAGCAAAAAAACCTTGGATTCGTCAAATTTTCTAATGCCTTGGTTTCAACGTTTAAATGATTTTGACAACCTGTTTCTATGCAGCCTGTTATCATTATAATACTACATACCAGTAATTTTTATGTTCCACTCCTTGGACTATTACAATTACATTTACAGATGTCGACAGTGACCTTTAGACATTTGATTCGAATTGAACTTACTATTTGTTTTATACTGCATCTACGATAATATCATTGTCTTTACTTTAGGGTTAAAATATTTTCTGAAATGTTGTCTTCCGTCCTCTCAAGCATTCATGAGTTTAAGTTTCTTAATACATTCGTTTTCAGATGCATATTATCCTCTCAGATAAAACATCGAACTTGCAAAAACTCTTATTCGGTTCATACTTTTGGAACAATAAAATTTGGAGTGGTTAGAACAGATACCAATCAACCATGAACGTCTAGGCTGACAACATTATGTTTAGGCTTATTTATTTAAACAGAATGTAATACAAAGATATATGTTACGTGATACTATCAAGTCATCCCTAACTTTTGCTTCTGTAAACAATGTTTCATCACCAAAAGGCAGAGCTAAACAATCATTTTAGTGTTTCATCCGTTTTATTGCAAGCAGAAACATAGCTTTCCTATGCGTCGAGTTAGTCAAATACAAGGAAATATGCACATATTTGAGCAGCTACTAATCCAGTAGCACTAATAAGGCTCCAAAATCAAAGTGTTATTATCAAGACAATAAAGTGCCTAACTTTGAGCCAAAAATTAAACTTCATTCCTAAATAAATAAAATCTCTAGGCTAGCCATTCTTATAACCTAGCATGGGTACAAAAAGTTGGTAACAAGGCACACAGCTTCCTCCAGTTAATGAGGAGAGTGATTTAGAAATAAAAAGTATTGATGATTGCCATACGTTTCTACGATTCGTTGACAAATACATCTGAAACGAGGTGATAAAACTATGCTTATAATCAAAGCTATAGCTATATAAAATTGTGAGAAAACATGTATTCACTTTCAGTTACGTTAAGAATGTGTAGCTTTTTTAAATTTCCTAGACTAACGTGTGAAATTGGGTTCTACCTACTACACACAAAAGTATTTGGATCTATTTGTGACCAAACAAGGAGCAAGGTCAAAGTTCATATTTGCGAAAACAGTACTACTTCTTAGCAATGATAATACTATACGACTTTGCCTTGACAAAACAAAACAAAGTGATGACATATACAGTAAAAACACTTCAATGATGCACAAAATTGCCATAAGATGCTTATAGTTGAAAATAAATCAATAAAAATTATTTTATTGACATCAATACATCGAAATAGTCTCAGTTACATTTCCAGTTTCAGTTTCAGTTTGGAAAGGACAGGAGGCTTGATGGCCTGTGTTAGTCCTGGCAATGATGGTCTCTCAGCTGATCCAACTTTCTTTTGAAGGAGTCGACGGATGGAGCCTCTACCACGTGCTGAGGTAATGAATTCCACTCGTTGATTATTCTATGGGAAAGTCGGTAGTCAGCTGACAAGTAATTCGTTCTGGGCTTGTGAACTTTTTTGGAGTGTCCTCGTAGATTTTCTGTTTTGGAAGACAAGAAAAATGAGGGCATATCAGGTGCAAATTTGTCATTTAGCAATTTGAAAACTATAATCAAGTCACCTCTGATTCTTCTATATGACAGCGGGAATAGGTTTAGCTTGGTCAGTCTAGTACCATACGGGAGCTTCGCTATTCCGAGAATCAGCCTAGTTGCTGTTCTCTGAACCCTTTCCAAGAGTTCACTGTCTTTTTTTAGGCAGGGGTTAGCTGCTTGTATACAGTACTCAAGTTTAGGGCGTACGAACACTGTATACAAAGTCAAAAACGTTTTAGCGTCGAGATGCTTAAAAGCCCTGCGTATGGACCATAAAGTCCTAAAACCTTTGGCGGCTATTGCACGGCAGTGTGCAGTAGTCTTTAAGTCTTGACTGACGATGACACCTAAGTCGTTGTGTGCCTGAACAATAGGTAACTCAGTGTTATTCATCGTGTATGTATCTGTACCCTGATGGCCAATATGCATCACAATACACTTGGAAGTGTTTATCGGCAATTGCCAGGTTTGGGACCATTCAGATAATTTCTCCAGGTCATTTTGAAGTTCTAAGCTATCGCCCTTGCTTTGTATTGCTCTCCATATCTTGACATCATCAGCATAGAGGAAGACCGATGACGATAGTGGACGAGGGAGATCATTTACGTACAGGAGGAATAACACTGGCCCCAAAACTGTACCTTGGGGGACTCCACTAAGCACAGTTTCCCAGCTAGACAACTTGGAGTTCACCTTTACTCTTTGTTGACGCCCAAATAGGAAGTCTTTTATCCACATCAATAGATTGCCTCCAATCCCGACATTCCTTAGCTTATATAACAGCCGGTTATGTGGAACTATGTCGAAAGCTTTGCTGAAATCGATGTAAGCTACGTCTATAGGTAATTTTTGGTCCTTAAGAGCGCACCAGCTTTCACGATCGACTAATAAGTTTGTGAGACAAGATGTCTATTATGTTTGCTTTCCAGACGTTAGGTCTGGATTGAGCTGAAGCGTACTCGTGATCGACAGTTATATGGAAGTCAAAGCTTAAAACTGCATGATCACTTTTGCCTGGGAGTGGCATGTAATCCAGGTTTGCAACGTCATCCTCATACCGAGTCAATATAAGATCTAGTAAGGATGATGCAGAACCCGGGTCGTATCTAGTTGCTTCCTTCACGTGTTGCACTACAGCACATGTGATTATCGCATCAACTAGTTCCTGTTCGAAGGAGTTTGCTGACGATTCAGTCTGCAGATTTCCCCAGTCCACCATGGGTGCATTAAAGTCCCCTAGGATTAGATATCGATCACTTCGTGATAAAGTGTTGAAACTGCCTAGCAGGACCTCGTTTGCCTCACAGCTTGGACTGCGATAGATCAAACTAAGTAGTAACTCTTGTCCCTGCATTTCAGGCGGCAGCAAACTAGTTCATACGTCCAACTCTCATGGGATACACTGTCGATAATGGTGAATGGAATAGCATTCCTAATGAATAGAGCTACTCCCCCTACTTTACGCGTTTGTATTCTATCGGCCCTTACCAATGTAAAACCCTCGAAATGAAGTTCCCTACTATCTATAGACGGCGTCAGCCATGTTTCCGTGACTGCGATTATGTCTGGCCTAGTTGAGTCAATCTGTACACCTAGTTCCGGTAGCTTATTTTTTAGTAAGCTCCGGGCGTTGGTATAACAGATCCGAAGCCTATTTAGGTGGCCTCGTGCTTCACCCAGAGTGGCTTCGGCATCATCCTCTGTCGAAGCCTCACAACCCGAAAATTTACAATTTTCAGGTCTTTTTCGCCAGCGTCTAATCTGAGCTGTAGTTCCTTTTCGGCTTCCCGTCTTTTAACACGGTCCGCCAACGGTAAGTCCTTACGGAGAAAAACTCCTGAACCCTTTAATTTGTGTCCATTTTCTAAGATTAAGTCGCGTTCGTTTGAGGATTTGAAAACGACTTTGAGTAGTCTAGACTGATTAGGCTTCAGATGCGCTAGATTTCCTAATCTATACACCTTTAGCAAGGTGACTCCGGGGATGTTTTTGGGCATAACTTGGTTGAGTAGTTGTTTTGTCAACACAATGTCATGCTCAAAACGAGCTTTCGGTTCTGAGCTGTCACTCTCCTTGACTCTATGGAAAATGACTGATCTGTCGCTGTGATCAGACCTCGGCTTGTCGACCCTTTTGGTGGGGGTATGATTTCCTTTCACGTCATTTTGGCGTTTTTTTCTTACGACCCGTACCCAATCGCCAACGTTCTTTGGAGTGGTAACCACATTCGCGTCAGGCGTACTGTGGGATTCCGGAAGAGTCAGGACGACTTGGGAGATTAGGTCATCTTTCGCGCTAGAAACCGATCAAGCCTTGCGGATTCGGCTTCCTGAAGTTCCCTTCTGGGTACCATTTTTGATACGAGGGACAGAAGAGACTTTTTTGCGCGAGTTTCTGGTTGTAACAGTCCTCTTCCTCCTTCTTCCTCCTTAGTAGGGTGTGGGTCGGCAGTTTCTGGACTCACATGGGCCTGCCTTGTGTCAATCTGCGTGTCGACAGATTGAGTTCTGACTGATGTATCCCGACCGCGCTTGCCGAGACACTTTTTTGCGGCATTTACTATTGAAATGGCCTCGGTTAGCAGGCTATTTGCATCCAAACAGCACTGTTGACATAGCCATACACACCCATTTTTACTGAACCGCTTGAAAGCTGCAGGTGTTAGATTCGTGCAAACATAGTGGTACCAACCTTTGCACTCATCGCACTGCATGCCGCTATCAACAGGATATGGACATCCTGGGCGGTGGCAAATGCTTTTGTTGCATCTTCCAGTAATTTAAGGATGCGAAAGTGAGTGTTGACTACAAGTAGAAAAAAAAACTATAAATAGTTAGGACCAAAGTACTAAACAGACACAGTAGAAAAACAAAGGTACTCTGGAGTACCGACGATAAAACTATTTAGGATACCAAAGATGATACTCTAATAGAATACTTTAACTGAAAGAAATTCAATCAAAGTATAAAAACAGTAGTCTTGATACGTTAATAACGATCAAAACAATAGAATTTGCTCAACGAGGAAAAATACCACTGTCTTTTTTAAATAGCGCGCGGTGAAGAAGATAGTAGTCTAGGTGGCCTATTTTAGTCTTGAAAATAGTGGTTTCTCACTTCATTTGGCTTTCTTTTGAAAACGTTGGCAATAGAGCTTCAGTGACGTGTCTAGGCAATGGATTTCATTTGTTGGTGATTCTGCGAGAAATTCAACAGTCAGCTGACGAGTAATTTGTTCTGTCGTTTTGAAATTCTTTATGGTGTCATTGCAAATTCTGTGCTTTTCAAGCAACCAAGAGTGATGGCATATCAAGTGAGAATTTATCACTAAGTAATTCGCCGACTGTGATGAAGTCGCCTCTGTTTCTTCTATATGAACAGTGGTGTCGTTTACTATGTCATGCCCACATAGCTTGTTTCAGCTTCTGGACAGGCCAATTCATTCACTCTTCTTGATTCACATCTGTACCTTGTTAATTATTCGCTTCTTAATCCTGACTGTTTTTATGTAAGCATATGTATGTCCATTTCTTATCATATTCACCATATGTCTATAACTTATTTTAGTCTATAAATATCGATTAACGCTCTATGAAATCGAGTTGGCTGAAACGCTTTCTTTACTGTTCGTCATTGCGTCTCCTTTTACTCCTTTTTCTTCTTTAAGTCTCCCTGATCGCCTGTTCGGATCAGCGATTGTAAAAAATATACGCATTGAAAACTGCATTCTCGTATTTGACTTATTTAATTCTGGTATCCACTAACTGCGATTAATTCGATGGATATATATATACGAGGATTTTAGTAGATTCAGTAGCTATAGTAAGAGTGATAGATCCATACAAATAATTTGAAGGGAAGTAATTAATAAGACAGCCATACGATGTGGCAGCTGAAAGTAATTAGAATAATAATTAAACTAGATGCAGAATAGTTGACAAAAGGCTATACTATATCAACGCGTCGGTCACATTTCACGATTTACAAACAGTAGCGTAACAATGGTTGCAAGCGAATCAAGTGGAAAATGGTTATACGAAAAAACAGTCAACGATAAAAGGAAAGATACACAGGAAGAAAAAACAAGGGAACAGTCGTAGTGTAAGATGCAAATAGGAATTTTCTCTCATATCCCACTGGTATATAGAATAATGGCTTCTTCAATAAAGTCAGTCTACTGAAGAACTTAGTCATCAAACTTTAGGGCAACAAGTTCAAAGAAGACCAAATATCAGACAACTTTTACGGATCAACAATAGCAAACTATGATAATCGGAAGCATTCCAATAAATCTGCAAACTAGGAATTCCTGTAATAGTGTAATTAAGGCAGGTAGAAGAAAATGGGCACCAACGAAAGTATAACATTTGGATTTCGTAATCAGAGGGCGATAAAGTACTAAAAAATAATAAAATCTCACAACTATCCAACAAACGTGGGTAACTAACAGGGAACGCGCTTTTGTCTCAGCGAGGTAAAACAAAAGCAGTCAATTGATGCGAAGTGAGCCAAATTAGCAAAACCTCAAGAAAGTCAAGTATTTTTTCAAAATTCTATCAATGCTTTTAGGAGTGTTGTATGTGCAGCTGACACCACTGGGAGTTGCTTTTGGACCGTAATCATGTAGTTCTTGACTTGAATAAACAAAAATTTCATCCGATTCAGCAACCTACCTTAGTTGTAAATCTTTTCACTTGTCTAGGTAATCCAGATATATTGTTGTTTACTCTTGTTCTCAGAGATTTTATTTCAATATATGCACGATCGAATAGACACGTATTGATTGCTGAACAATGACGTATTAAATGCTTGATATCGGAGGATCTGTACACAAAACCCTATGAATACTTTTTAGATATAATTCATCTATAGGGGTGAAAACTCCAAGTATAAAATAGTGAGAAAACTTTATAATTTCATAAACGTTTCAAATAAGGTTAGGAGTGAAGCTCTAAAATCCCACCGAATAGTTCCATGGGTTTTTACCGCTGATGCTTACCTCCTCAGTTTAACTGGACACATCACTTAAAGGCGCTCGTTCAAGCATCTAAACCATATCACACGTGATACTCATACCTTCCAACGAACACTGAGTTGAGATCATATACTTCTCGATACATCGGCTATCTTCCGAATATATTTTCGAACTATTTTATTGGTGAATCCTGGTTTTACTGGATTCGGGACCCTCGATGTGTTAATGATAACAATGTTGATAGGTACTGAATATTCGTGACATCTTCAATATATTGGGAATAAAAACTACTAACACACTTTTAGACCAGTTAGTTCATGGTATTCCTCGATAGATATACTGTCATGGCTTGAAGCAACAATCGCAACTGTTTCGTTAGATAAAGCCAGTTGCAAAGACCAGAATCAAGGTAATCCATGTTTTACATAGTCGAAATCATGAATCAATTGAGGCTTAACCACTATTGAAAACCTGGAAGCACTAGACGACCGTTTCGTTCTACTGCATGACTACTCATCAGTGCGCATCCACGATCCCGCCTCGCGAGATTCGAACCCAGGATCCATGAGTCTCGCGCGCGAGCGCTAAACCAATAGACCACTGATATTTGGTTAATAGTCTTAATAGATGTAAACAATTTATAAACAGTCAACATTGTGAAAAAATTATGTATGATCGAAATCACATTCATTACTGAAGTGATTAAAAGAAACATCAAATAAATTAGTTTATGCATCAAATCTCTTAGGTCAATGATTCACTTCAATTTTTAAAACACAAAAATGGATCTCAGCTATTTAAACTGTTATCTTTTAGTGACTTGTAAGCTTAAAATAATATAAGTTATATACCAAGTAATGTTAATCTCAAAAACGTTATCATTTAACCTTCAAGAATTGAGTAAAACAAAAAAAGACCAAAATGCCAAGAATGAACGATACATTTTGTCAATTTAAAATTGAATAGTATACAATAAAATAAATACAAGATCGATCAGCATGCCCTTATCAAGAATACAACTACCTACATAGAAAATGACTTAAAAAATTGGAATGTTTGACTAAAAGTTTCTCAATTGTTGCTTATATCTAATTAATATGGTTTGAAATAGTTCAATTCATTGTTTGAATTATGTTTTGTACATAAAATGGCGCTTACAGTAAATTAATTTAAAATGGACACCATAAAAAAAGGTACAGAATACAAATAAATCATCCCATAAATTTGAAAAACAAAAAAATATACTGAAATTTAAAAATCTTTGGTAAAAATTTCAAAGCAAAGATAAAGAATTCATGTTAAATATATCGAGATGTGCGAATGGACATCTTTTTATTATTTTTATGATTTTCGAATTGTTTTAATTTATTAAATGTTGTAGATTCAATTTGAGTAGGTTCAGGAGGGAATTTCAAACTGACTGTTTCCTTTTTTAATAAAGGATCCTCATCGTTCTTGATCATGTTATTCAACTTATTTCCAGTCATAATAACTTGTTCATTGTTATCTTGTGTTAGTTGCTCTGATGATTTTTCTTCAGTGTTTGTTGAAGGATGAGATTGATTTTCAGTCGAATTATTACATTTTTGATTATAGTTTACATTCTCTTCATTCAATGGATCATTTTTAGATGGTTTAATTGCCTTTGAATTTTCATTTGACTGTTTCAAAGAATTGTTGAATTTATCCGTTTCCATTGGACATATTTCTTTGAACGTCTCACTGTTATCATTAGATCTGATTTGACAATTAATCGTTTCTTTGTTTTCAGACCTTTGCTGATTAGAAGTAAATAAAGTTTTTAAAAATTCAATTTGGTATCCATATTGAGGTGCATTGAAGTATATCGGTCTAATAGTAATATAATTTCGAACATATGATAGAACCTAAACAGATGTATATTTGAAAAAAGGAATGCTTTATCAATATATCATAACTTTGAAGGAAGTATTCACATAGGAAGTTCTCAAAGTATATCAACTCACCCACCAAATTGATGAGACAACGATTGAAAAGTAGGAAGTATTGGAAATTTGTTTCGTCTTACCATGAGACACTTCGACAGTTATCGCACACACACAAACACAAACCCATCAAGGATCAAATCCAGAACCTTCAGTCCTAGTGCTGAAGGTTTATAAAATTTAGACCATTGAGTTGTCATCCGACGGTTTACATTTGTAACTTCAGTCAATTCGTGATAATGTGTTCAAGACTATAATTTATGGACGACCCAACAAAATAATGTCTGTTGGATTTTGGCGCGAAATTTATCCTCCTATTTGATTAAAGAGAGTTTTGATGATTTTAGCTGATATCAGTTTATGATGTAAACTTCAAATCTAATTCAAAACTCTAACCATCAACTGTAAATCATAATTCTATTTCCTCACACTGGTTTATAACTCTAATTTAGCACTAGCTAGTAGGTGGACATTCCAAAAGATACTTCAACGTCATTCAAAGGTTGTCCATAAATTATAGTCTCACTGCAAATACATTTCAGTTATGGACATTAAGCGTTGATAGTATAGTTCTTGATAATCAATAACGACTGAAGATGTTGCACATTAAACTAACATCTCTTCTGAGAAACGTGATAGAATATATTGGTTTATTTCTTGCGGAAAATTTTCCAAGGGTAAAAATACTCAAAGGCATACAGAACTTCATGTTCGTCACCTTCAAATCGTGGAAGTCAGCCAATAAAGACTACAAGGATTTACACTGTCGTCTAATATAACGGAAGAAATTCTGCATTTTACGTTTTACATTGTTAAAATACACGGCAAAGACCTAATTTTCAAATCGGTATAATCAAGAAGGCTTCAACAAAATAGCCCTGATCCCTTGAAAAACTCACTTTATACAGTAAAAATGTAGTAGTAATTTGAGAGAAATATTAACAAAAACTGGTCAATCATTAATTAATTTTAATAGTTGAAATCATGAATCAATTGAAGCTAGACCACTATGAAAAACCTGGAAGCACTGAACGGCTATTTCGTCCTATTGTAGGACTCCTCAGCAGTGAGCATCCACGATTCCGCCTGACGAGATTCAAATCCAGGATCTATCAGTCTCGCGCGCGTGCGCCTAAACACTAGACCACTGAACCAACATCCAACGGTGTTAATGTCTAACTTCAACCGATTCACGAAATTGAGCAACACATCCATCAATGTCTTCAGTGAGTTGGTATCTCACAACAGATCCGGTTGAACTCTACTGGTAACTGCTTCTCATTAGTATTAATTAATTGATTGAGAAAAACAGATAACCTTACTAAAAATTTTCTTTCTTGTTAAATTCTCTTCATATTACATGGATTTATTGGTGTGTGTAGAAACGTCAGTTCTTGTTGTGAAACTTCATATTTATAAGTCCACAGAATACTTTATTATAACAATCATAATGTGTTTTCTAATGATTAAATCAATAAATCTCTACAGTTATAGTGAGAAGTAGTGTTCAGTGGCTTCAGTCATGTTAGAATTAGGATAAAAATTACTAGTGTTAATAAGTAATCATCAAGTGATATTGCAAAAAGACTTAATTTTGAATTGTAAACTATCCGATGACAACCAAATGGTCAATAAGTTAAATGTCCACCACGATTCCTGAAAGGTCTCATCATGGTTGCGAGTGCACATTAATAAGGAGCCCCATACTACGACGGAATATCTACCCAGTAACTCTCGCTTTTCAACAGTTATTCTTACTGGCAACAGTCTTTGATGTGGAACTTCATAATAGAAATCATCAAAGTTACTACTGTTATTTCACTTACTTTTATCACTTCATGTGGATATGTTGATCCTGAAATTAAATTATTCGAATTACATTGTATACATTTTTGTTGATCTAAAGAGAACAGAAATTCATAAATATTAATTATATAACCAGATTGATTAATGATTCGGTTTAATGGATGATGACCAATAAATATATTAATAGATCCTTTTTTCGATGTCCATATGTGATTGCAACGCTGAAATAAGAATTTAAGTAGTATAAATTATTTAATTAAAATGTCTATCAAAAAGAGAAAAAAAGCACAACAACAATAAAGGATAAAGTATATAATTGCACATATTGTTAAGTTGCATATAAAGAAGATAATAACTAACAGAGAAACTGAAATATAGACTGTACAACTTTGAAGAGAGGGATGAGGCAAGAGATTTCGAAGGACATAAGTGACTTATGGCAATATTGAGGCAGTCCACACAGGATGGATAGATGTCAATAAGATACTGATTAATTGCAGTCCTAAATAATAACAAGAAGATACAAGTAAACAATAACAACTAATTTCGATGGGAAATTTCAAGATAATTCATATTATTTAATATATAATAAGATAAAAATAACGAAGAAACAGGATACATGGATTAGACGACATTATGGATCGTCATTGAACAATCGAATGAATGCATCTCGCCACTATATATCAACTTCCTTGATTATGAAGCAGTATTTGACAGTGAAGACAGAAGAATATTATGAAAACTTCTTCGACACTACGGAGTTCTTGAGAAAATTGTCAACATTATCTACAGCTCATACGACGAACTACAATGCAAAGTTTTGCTAGGAGGACAGTTGACCGATGCATTTCCCGTAAGGACCGGATTCAGAACAAGGTTGTATACTTTCCCCCTTCCTGTTCCTTCTGATGATTGACTGGATCATGAAGACCTCTACATCTGAGATAAAACACGGAATACAATGGACATCTCAGAATCAATTGGACGATTTATACTTCGCAGATGACCTAGCCATCCTATCCCATACACGCCAACAAATACAGATGAAGACAACAAATGTGGCAACAGGCTCTGCATCGATAGGTCTCAACATATACGAAGGAAAAAGCAAGATTCTCAAATACAACACAGAGAACACCAAGCCAATCACACTTGATGGCGACAGCAGCAAAGTGTGGAGACATTCACGTACCTGGAAATCATCATTGACGAAGAAGGAGAATTTGATGCAGACGTAAATGCAAGCATTGGTAAAGCAAGGACCGAATTTCTACAATTGAAGAACATGTGGAACTCAAAACAACTGTCAACCAACATCAAAGTTGGAATCTTCAATACGAACGTCAAGACAGTTCTATTATACGGAGCTGAAACGTAGAGAACTACTACAATCATCATCAAAAAGGTACAAGAATTTATAAACTGTTTTCGACGTAAGACACTGATTGTTCGTTGACCAGATACCATCAATAACTTCCTACTATGGGAAAGAACAAACAAGCTTTCAGGTGAAGAAAAGATTAATAAAATACGTTGAAAGTGGATAGAACATATATGTGGGAAATCACCAAATTGCATCACGAGGCAAACGTTAACTTGGGATCCTGAAGGAAAACTGAAAAAAGAAAGGCCAAAGAACATACGGCGTCGGGAATTGGAAGCAGACATGAAAAGAATGAATAGCGACTGGAAAGAACTGGAAAGGCTTACCGAGGACAGGGTTGGATGGAGAGAGTGCTGGTGAGCGGCCTATGTTCCTCGACGAGGGGTAACAGGCGTATTTATGTAAGCATATATATAAGCTTTTACAAAACGTTTTCAAAGTATACGTTTGGTCTCTGCCACTATCATGAGTGCTTCTAAGAATTCCCATAATGGGACAAAGTAGCTATTCAACTCTCCCCAGATGTTAATCGATTTCTAGTGAAATTGTTTTTGTCATAAGAACTATCTAAAAACTGAACATTTTCCACAAAATCTACATGCTAATATCAATGTATAGACCACAATGATTACTCATTAGTGTTTAGTAATGTATGAATCCTATGTGAATTTAAACTTACATACACAGATCTTCTGTATAGTGGTAAGGAGTAGAAAGAGATGAATGTGTGTGTGCGAGTAAATAAAGAGATAAATTTATAGTCATATAGAATCAAAGCTCAGCTAAGCAAGGCCACTGCTGATAATAGCATTCGATTACAAATATATATGGAAAAGAGAATGATTCATTGAGCGATATTTAGGCAATTAATATTTAAGCTAGAGAGAGATATGTTCGTAGGCTGTCTTGTGATCAATCATATACGTTTATACGTACATGATGGTGATTATAATAGTACAAAGAAATAAACGAATCGTTACTGTTCGAATACCCATTGTCTATTAAGTAAGTTAATAAAAGCGCTTAGCATAAATCTTATCATCTACCTGGGAAGCATCATCGATGAACAAGGAAGATCCGATGCAGACGTAAAGGCGAGGAATGACAAAGCAATGGCCTAGAGGTTAAATGCTCACATGTGAGACTAATAGGTCCTGGGTCCGAATCTTGCAAGGCAAGATCATGCATACTCACTGCTGAGGAGTCCCACAATAGGACGAAACGGCCATTCAGTGCTTCCAACTTTTCCATAAAGCTTCAGCTTCAATTGATTAATGAATTGAACTATAAAATTACTAGTTGAAAGCGTGAGTCAATTGAAGCTAAATCACCAGGGAAAACCTGTAACCACTGGACGGCCGTTTCGTCCTATTGTGAGACTCTTCAGCAGTGCGTATCCACGACCTCGCCTCACGAGATTCGAACTTAGGATCTACCAGTCTGGCACTAGAGCATTTAACCGATAGACCACTGAGCTGGCATCCGATAGTGTTTATATCTAACTCCGATTAATCCACAAAGTTGAGCAACCATTCTTTCAACTATGAAAATACTAAATCTCCACAAAAGTCTCCTTCTGATAATAATCTACTTCATCAAAACTAACTATTAAATAGGGTTATTGATTTGTCTAATTATTATCTTGTAACTACTTGGAAAGTCTCATTATCTTTTTTCTATGATACTCATTATTATTATTATTATTATTATTAATAAAAGTACATCAATTCACTAATTCTTGTCATAAAAGTAAATAAACTTTAATGGACTTAATCAATGTGATTCATTGAATAAGTAGAAAAGATTTCAGCGTGAAAAAAAAGAAAAGAAGAGAAAATAAAGAGAAAACTATTTAATCAATACATTGATAAGTAGTACTAAGATTATAATCAATAAATCAATAATGTATCAAAAATTGATAAGTTTTATTAAAATTCTAATAATGTACTTTAATAAATGATTGATGATATTTATATCATGAAAAGTTGACATTATTTATTCAGATAAAAAAGGATTTAGATATATATTGATATTATAATGTGTACTAATGTAATGTGGTCTACTTATATCAATAGAAGTAGTATATAGTGATGGTTAGACATAGAATGCAGTTTGGCAGAAGACCGATAAGGAAAGAACTGAAATGAAGCGCAATTGGTAGGAAAATGCATGAACAATGAAATTAAAGAAGATGAACTGATATTTACAGAAGGAACAGTGAAGATTGAGACAATTAATGGTTATTCTGCAAATTAACTGTTTGTTGTATGATTATCAGAATTTAATGAAATAGTCTGTAATTTCTGTCTAAATACATTCGATTGTCCCCAGTTGTGTTCTTCTTCACTACACTACTAATGTAAACATAAGTAGTATGTATCATCAATAAAAAAATGAAATGTGTAACGGTAGAAGATTAAGAAAATGGAAGAAAAAAAGAAAGACAATAGAGGATGATTTGTATGGAAAGTGTTATATCTCGATAAGAATAAGAAACGGTGACTTTTGAAATTCACTGATGGATCAATATGATATGTATATTTTCTATTGTATAATTGCCAAGGCCCCCAAATGCCCTGGTACGGCCGAGAGTGAGGAGAGTCACATCTCCCTCTCGAAATACTCTCATATGGCCACGCGAATATATAGCCTCTGTCAGGGAAGTCCTACTCACTGCCTTCTAGTGGCACCGGTGTTGTTTACGAAGTTGGTAGGACGAAAAGCGAATGTCCGGCGATTTAACCGGGTTGGTGGACACAGAAAATCCACCCCCAAGAGTTGGAAAACCCTGATTCCAAACCAATGGTGCACATGGGCTCCAGTATCCTGATGGAACGAATGGCGGACGAACCTGTCATTGGTCAACGGCTACCATGGAACTGCATCTCCTCACGATGCTCCACTGCCTTGTGGATCAGACATTCAGGTCAAAGGCTCGGGGTGTGGCCCCCTAAGAAAACCACCTGCTTCAGTCTGGGCACCTGGGCAGTATCACAGCCCTCACACAAATCGAATGAGATTTGTGAGGCGCATATTTATCTGGTGCTTCATTGTACCAATTTTTATGTGCTTAAATAAATAAATAAAATAAATAATTGCTAAGTATTGCTAATATTCATGTTCCTCTCATTATAAGCTTTATTTTGACCCATAGACTATTATTATACGATTTACCATTCCTGAGTTATCCATAGTCTACTAATTGCTGCCTCCCACATTCACAGCCACATTGAGCTAAATCTTGTCCAAATGTTGTTTTCCTATGTTATGGTACGATGTGGTCTGTCTGGTTGGTATATAAACCCTGCTGACAAGTCCCAAATAGGACGAAACGCGCTTTTTGGACTCCACAGCTAGCCTCTATCCATCTTTGCTTATAATGCTTGTAAATTAGGGCAATATCGAGGCAATACGCACAGTATGAACATATGCCAATAAGAGACTGACCAGTTTCAGTCCTAAGCATCAATTAGAAGATTCAAACAAACAATACTAAGTGAATTTAAACCCAGTATGTTTGAAATAAATGATTCCTATTGCAGAGACTGTTATTGGTGTTCTGTACTTAACGGACAGAGCTAGGCAGCAAGCAGGACCGATAAGGACTCTAGAATACTCATATGGATTTTATGCGTCATTTGTCCGATCGATAAATCACTGCTCTCTAACTGGTGATACTATCACGTTATACATTAAGGGTACTAAGGTCACAAGATTTAACAGTAACGAAAGAACAATGATGTCTGAGACGATTCACTAACTCAACGATTGACTGACATTTTGTAAATGAAGTGTATACTGTATGGTTCTGAGATTTCACTAAGAGATCCAAATACATTGGATTGTCTCAACTTGTGTGTTGTCATTCACTACAATATGACTATGTATGTTATGTACAAAGAAATATTTCGAAATAAGATGATTTTCAATTTCCATAATGCTTGAAACATTCAGTTACCCTGATACACATTTATGAGTAAATATAATATTCTGTTGAAATGCTAAGTGGGATTCGTATGTTTATATAGTTAACATCATGAGTCAATTGAAGCTAAACCACCATGGAAAACCTGGACGTTTCATTCTATTGTGGGACTCCTCAGCAGTGCGCATCCACGATCCTGCCTCAGGAGATTAGAACCCAGGACCTACCAGTCTCGTGCCAGAGCACTTAACCGATAGACCACTGAGCCGGCATCCAGCGGTGTTAATGTCTATGTTTACTTTACAATGTGTTATCGATAAATACAGCATAGTTCTAACAAAATGTCTCTTTAATCCATTATGTGATGAGCTGTTTAAGAATTACTTAACTAGATAACGGTGATATCAATACAACATTATCTAAATCTATTCAACAAATAGCTTGAATAGTCAGATATTTTAATTAGTTTATAGCAGTCGGCAAGTTATTCAAGACTGAGGTTTCGTTCATCTTAGTACTTATTACCGGCGTATAACTGCAACGTTATATGGAATGATATCACCTATGAGATTCAAGCCCGCTCCACTAAGACTCATATTCAGATTTCGTTAACACTGAGGTATTCTGTTCTCAATTAACCTGCTGAAATACTGAAATGTATTTACAGTTAACTGATCATTATATAATTTTAATAATGTTCTCTGGTTAGCGTTGGCCAGACACTATCAGCAACAAGTTACTGTGGGAGAGAATGAACCAGATCTCAGTGAAGGAAGAAATCAGGAGGAAGCGCTGGAAGTGGATAGGAAACACTTTGAGGAAGTCACCCAATTACATTACAAGACAAGCCTTCACATGGAATCCACAAGGTCAAAGGAAAAGAAGAAGACGAAAGAACACATTACGCCGAGAATTGGAGACAGATATGAGAAGAATGAACAAAAGTTGGATAGAGCTAGAAAGGAAGACTCAGGACAGAGTGGGTTGCAGAATGCTGGTCGGCGGACTATACTCCATTAGGAGTAACAAGTCAGTAAGTAAGTAAGATCATTGTATAATGTCATTATCTTCTACATATCAGTACAGTACAAAACAATATCAGTAAAAATAACTTACAGAACAGTGAAATCGAAATTTCGCTGGAATTTTCTTTGACCAAATAAGATTATTTTTTATGATTTGTAAATCATTCAATGGACTAAATATCCACATGATTCCATATAAAGCATCCGGTTGTACATACAATTCGTAGAAATACCCCAACCATACTATGTGAAGTCTACCGTAAATAATAATAATAATAATAATAATAATAATAATAATAATAGTAGTAGTAGTAGTAATAGTAATAAAGTATTAGCTGAGGTATTTCACAATATGAATAAGCAATTTTATCTGATAATCCATTACAAACGAAGAATTCTTATCCAAATGAACTCACATGAAGGTAATTTAGGGGATATTTAGTTAGTCGGGTGACCAAGATAACTCACAACAGTTTTGTAGAAGAAATCAAAGTTTCCTCAAGTAAAAAAAGATGTTACTTTGCATACTACTGAAAACAAAATGACACTAAACAGGTCTATCATCCTGACATTCGATCCTTTGGCAGTGTTCATCTCCAACGCCATCAGGAATCGAACTCAGAACATCCAGGTCCCTTTGAGAAAACCTTTAATGTTTAGTAATAATGTTTGTTTATTTAATTAAACAAATAAACATTGGTAAAAGCAGGCACCAAATAGAGATGCGACACACAAATCATCCGACTTGTGTGACGGCTGGGATACTGACCGGGTGCTCAAACCGAAGCAGGTGGTTTTCTTAGAAGGCCACTAACGGAGCCTTCGACATAAAGGTCTGATCCACAAAGCATTGAAGCAACGTCAGGAAATGCAGTCTTATGGTAGTCGGTGATCAATAATCGGTTCACACGCCATTTGTTCTGTCACCATCCCAGAGCTCATGTGCACCATTGGTTTGGAATCAGAGCTTTCCAAATCTCCTCAGTAGACTCTCTGTATCCACTAGCCAGATTATAGTGCCAGACATTTGCTTTTCGTCCTCTCAATTTTGTAAACATCAGGTCTATCTGATAAGTCTTGCTAATTGAACGATATATTTGAATCCTAAGCTAGTCTCGTAACCCCCAAGATGAATCTACAAAGCGACTTGAACACGAGAGAAAACGTTCAAAATATGCGGGAAGCACTTTACTCCAAAGGTTCATTTATGTACAAAAGATATAGATTTTTTATTATTTTAAAAGTCCTTCGGTTTTCTTGAAAATTCTGGAATGCTATTAAACATAGTAGCAGTGTGATAACCAGCCAATCAGAAACTTTACATGTGACTTTTCACTTTCGTGATGTTTCTAGAGAAACTTCTAGTCAAACGCTTATTGGATAAAAATGCTTCTTAATGTTTCCTGAGCCTTTCTTGTCTATTGCGAGGGATTTTCAGGATCACACCAACACTATCGTGAGAAGGCAGTGAGTAGAACTTCCATGACAGTGGTTGTATGCACGTGACCTTGTGAGAGCATTTTGAGAGGGAGAGTTAACTCTCCTCACTATCTGCTGTACCAGGGCATTTAGGTGCTTAGTAATAATGAGCATCTATCTAATGGTACAACTTCATCTTTAACCAATTCAACACACAGAATGAAGATCATAACTAATACTAACAGATGTTTTTATTCCGGCAAATTTGAACTTTACGACTTTTCATTTGAAGTTCAAGAAGACCATGGCCCACGTCATAAAACAGTAGTCCACAGTACCATAGTTTTTAATGGTACCCTGAATACAAACAATTTATGATAACTAAAACCCACTAAATAATCCCCCTTTTATAAACATTTCATATAAAAAATCTTACTCTAAAACAAACATCATATTAATTGTCATATATTTATTCTACTATGTCTATCTCTACTCAGCTAGGAGCGGCCAATCTAAAACGTAGCATCAGTACTTGAAATCATTAACCTCTTGTCCGAGCCATGTTGGTAGATGCAAACTACTTGGTTGGGGTCAGCGTGACTATTTTCACCAATCGTTGGAGACTCTAGGTTACATGGTTCAGAATTGATTACAATGGTGCAGGTGTATACACTCTCTATCTCCCCTTAAACCTTGAGATTAAAATTGTTTTATATCTGTCTTTATTTCTGTACTATATCCTTATATACAACCTATCTTTTATATACTACCACCACTAAATTAACTACTTCTATGAATTTGACGTTCATCTTATTGAGTTAATGAGGTGTAGCGTTGTAGCTGACTGACTGACTATCTCTATTCTGATTTACCAAAGAGGGAACTTATGTGATACATGAATTACATTATACATTGATCTGAATGAAAAACTCATTACATAATGAGACAATTATGAATATGTTAAGAGGATTCTATTATCATACTGTCCATTTCATATGTTGATACATTTGTTATTAATTCGACCGAATTCATTGGTGACCCTGAGTGTAATTATTGCCGTAATGATATATCAATCCTTGAGATTTATCGAATATTTTTCCCTTATCTATTGTAAATTTAACTAGTAACAACATCTCAACGATTCTTGATCGGAGCTTCTAACAATAATTTGCATCAATCTCTCTTATCAAAGAGACATATAAGGGTTTCATTTAAACTCCTAACTAATACAGTTAACCTGGAACTGCACTAAAAGAGTATTGACATTAAAAGATAGATTATATTTCTTTATAACTAATAGTTACCTTTCTAATCAGTATACCTGGAATTCAAGTGATTGCTTAACAAGTAAATCCATTTTTAATCCAATTCTTATCAAAATTATCTAGAAAACTCTGCCAAATAAAAACCATGTTTATCCATTTGCTTCAAATATCGTAAGGCTATAATAGAATATGATTCATCTAATAGATATTCATGGAATTTATCTGACGAAACAAACTGAATCCCAATAGATATGACCAATAACCGAATAAAGAGATTAAAGTGTTCGTCAATCCTATTGCAGAAAACTTTCTTTAAAACCAAAGGAAACAAAATCATAAAAAAACATGTCGCAGAAACTCTTTTTAATTTTTAATTTCACACTTTCCATGTCCACCAACCCGGTTAAAGCGTCGGACATTCGCTTTTCGTCCTCTCAATTTCGTAAACAACAGTAATGCCACGAGAAGGCAATGAGTAGGACTTCCCTGACAGAGGCTATATACGCGTGGTCATGTTAGAGCATTTCGAGAGATAGAGAGAGAGGACTCTCCCCACTTTCGGCCGTACCAGGGCATTCGGGGAGCATACATTAGTAAGATATTCTTATAAATTACTAATGATCTCTATCAATCTCTTAGAATAAAATCATTCAATTACTAATATCAACAATCTTAAAAATGATATAAAGCTTATTTCACTTACCTTTCATGTAATTCAGTATCAATAGAATAAATATGTTGTTCATAATTAGTTATATCTTTAATGATATTTTCAATTTTCAATTTATATTTTAGAAAATATTCCAATAATATGCTTGTTATATGAAATGGACATATACATATTTGATTATATGAATAATTCATTCTATTTTTATAAGTTAATTTAATTTAATTCTGAATATATTATTGTATTAACCAATCAAATAACGATAAATGTAACCAATCATAAATTAGTAAATTTTTTTAATCATATGATTGGTTGAAAAGAAATGATGACATCATCTAATTATAATTTGTCATTGTTATAAACAGTAGGATACTTGTTTTATAACGCTAGGGTTATTTGTTATAACAGTCCTTTCAATTTTTACACGTATGTGGGATGTTAATTTAACTTAGACGAATATCTACAGTAGATTCCAATCCAGTGTCGCCTATTCTACAGGACTTCAACACAACTCAGATCAAGAATACGAGATTAGCCTGACTAGAATGTCACTATATTTCTACACACCCAAAACCCGATACAATCCAACAATAAGGAACAATAAATCAACAATAGTCAGGATATGGGAATATATAACACCTCTCATACTATCTACACGTCTGACTCAGCAAAACAACCAATCATTCTCGCCCACACATCAGTCATTATAGATGAAAGCAATCGAAAATATGATTAATTTATAGATTATGTGAATTATAAAGCATGAAACCTGTGTATTACACAGTATGATAAAAAGTACGGTATTTAAAATTTACTCTATAACTAAGTAACAGTAATGAGTCTTGTAAATATCCACTTCCCTTGGCTCGGTCTCATTATTGCCAGTTAATAGACATTTAATTGTCGTGAAACTGCCTACACAAATTATCCTGAGTCTACTAAAGTAATCAACGTTTGCATCAATAACTGACTATCCGCGCAGAATTCACACATAGACTACTGATCGGAACAACGGAAAGGCTATCCAGATACTTTACGTAGCTCGTATAAGTCAAAATCAGAAACTAGAATAATTACAAAACGCAAAGAAATAATACGCTATATTTATAAATCATGGGGACTCAACGTATCATCGAAAGAAATTCGGTCAAGCCTCCAGTCTGACCGGTATTCGAACTCGGAACTACTCGCACTCATCAAAAAATAACCACTCGAGCTTTTCATTTTTACTTACTCGTTCACTTCTAACTCCTGAGAAAAAGACCGATTACAGTATACGGCAAATATAAATAGTTTGCATTGTGACAATTCCCTTGATAAAAACGACATCTATTATAAAGCATTGAGGAGTCATTCTTAGAAGTGGCGTACACTTACAACTCTATACAGTGTACAGCCTATGATCTTTAAATCTCATAACAAAAAAGTCTTTAAAAGACTGAGTTACGATACTGTTTTACTCATTTCATTAGCAATAATTCCGTTGTATAGTGTGACTCTCATCCAATGTTTTGATACCTATTTGGTTTACACGACAGATCGCCTATCTAATGAAGCTTTGACATAATCAACATAAAAATGGTTACCAGTGAGAAGGTATTTTTGCGGTTACGTGGTTAGATCGTGTGGTTTTCCTTAAAAGCCGACGCCAATTGATGAACCCTAAAACTACATGAAGAATTGCAAATATGTTTCACACCGATTTGAGACTTCTTAATAATGTACACCAACGACACTAATTGGATACAATTAAATAATGATGAATTTGGTTAGAAGTAAATATGCATCACCATAATGAATAAAGAAATGCAGTTTAAAATGTTTGCAAAATTTACTGCAGCGTCCCACTTGACCAGTGTTCGGACATGATTAATTCCATCACGGTGAAAGGAAATGAGAAAGAGTAAAGGATACATTGCACTGGTAATTCGAATTTGATATCAAAAGAATGAAAACCACTTAGGAACAAATAGAGAGAAAGTCTAAGGACTGACTAGGTTGCAGACCGTTCCTCACATTGTGTAACCGCAGCAAGTCGGCTGTTTAAAAGAAGAACCATTATCTACCAAAACCAGGATTTATTTTCTGAGGTTTGAGGCACTGTATATGTTAAGATAAGTGTTACTACCTCGATACACATGTTAGAATAGGTGGACAAAGGTTGGAAACCATGATTTATTAATAGAAAACTGGATGTAATTAAGCTACCGTTGTACAAGTGAAATGAACAATTACAGGGTTAGCATATTAAACCATGAGAGTTGAAAATAACTTGATTGTTCGTGGTAGATTTGATAAAATGAAATTTAGTCACATGGATTTACAGTTTCATCAATGCTCAGTTGATTATTTGAACTATTCACATGATGTTCTCTCGACCTTGAATAAGATTATGACCATGCCATACAATACGATTCTCTGTATGTTTATCCGAAAAATAAAGTTATTTAGTAAGTACAGTGACTGATTTAATTATATAACTAGTCAATTACATTGTTGACTAAATAAATTCATAGATCTGTGAATGATATTACACTATCTACTTTTAAACCAGTTCCTAATCGTATTAACAAGTTAAAATGGGTTAACTAGAACAATTAAATCAATGAACTTCTAATCTGTTATAGTCTAAGTGAAGGGAAAAAGATCACCTCGCAACTGGATTTGACCTTAAACATTAGGTACTCCGATGACTTGTCGTTTACTGAACAGGTAATGAAACAAACGTCCAAGTCTCATCGCCTTATAGGTTTCATAACTCGAAACCTTCATAACAGCGAATCCCGTATTCTAATGTACAAAGTCTGTGTTCAACCACTCCTCGAATACTGCGCGTTTCTCCTTAGTAGCACGCGCATAAAGGATAAGTTAAGACTGGAATCAGTACAGAGACGATTTACATTTCGTACTCTTGGACCTGATAGTGTCTTGACATATAATTCGAGGTGTAGTAAACTAGGGCTTGACCCTTTATGGATGAGGAGACTGAAACTTAACCTTATCTTCTTTTTCAAAATACTTAACAAACTCTCCTTCACATCCAGTCAGGCGATTCAATATGCTAAGGCTTCACATTACGACATTCGTAACTCCTTGTCTTTAGCGAAACAAACATATTCTAGGTCTTCTCTCTATATGAATTACTTTACCTGTAAGTTTTCTAGACTATGGAATAATTTACCCCAAACTATCCGTATGTTAAACTCTCTCCCATTGTTTGTTCGGTCAATTAATACTTTTTGCTCCTCTGAAAATGCATTAAATGCTCTAGCGCCTGCAAGTGTATCTTACTCCACAAGTGAGATTATAGGAACTTTAAATGTTTAACCTCTTACTTGCTATCATTGTTTTGTTGTTCCGTGCTCTTTGCTTTAATCTTACTTTCTCTAGTTGTAGATAATTAATAATAACTCGCTCTGGCACTGGTAATAACCTTACAGAATAATGTTGGTCAATCATCAGGCTATCCACTTAATAAAAAAATGACAAGTTCCCTGGTGTTGCATTGGCTTACCGTGATATATGCCATATTTAAACTGTTTATCAATTACTAAACCAGCAAACATAAGACCTTCTTATATTTCATGTTTGTTCTCTACATTAAATGTTGATTTTTATAACAATCTGATCATGCCTGTAAACTGGTGTGAATTCTGTAAATATTATTTTCAGAATATATTATTATTATTATTAAATTGAACATTACTTTTATTGTCTCCTAATCATCAATACAACACAATTATCTCGCAAAACTTAAATGAGATCCTCTAAATCCCATAGTCCAGAATGAGTTAATGAATTTTTCTAAGCTTGTTGAGTGAATACTTTCTTCAATGCCCTGATATGGCCGAGAGTTGGGAGAATCCGCTCTTCCTCTCCAGATGCTCTCACATAGCCACGCGTATATAGCCTCTATCAGGGAAGTTCTACTAACTGACTTCTCGTGGCATTACTGTTGTTTACGAAATTGAGAGGACGAAAAGCGAATGTTCGGCGCTTTAGCCGGGTTGGTGGACATGGAAAGTCCACCTAGGGGAATTGGAAAACCCTCATTCCAAACCAATGGTGCACATAAACTCCAGTATCCTGACGGAACGAATGGAGTATTAATCAATCGTTGGTCACCGACTACCATAGGACTGCATCTCCTCACGATACTCCACTGAATTGTGGATTAGACAATTAGGTAAAAGTCTCCAGTTGTGACCCCCTACGAAAACCACCTGCTTCGGTTTGGGCGCCTGGGCAGGATCATAAACCTCACACACATAAAATGAGATTTGTGTGGCGCATATGTATCTGGTGCCCCTTTGTACCAATATTTATGTGTTTAAATAATAATAATAAAACTTTCTTCAACCTACTCTTGTTACACAACTAGATTAGCGTAGCAGCTTTCTGGGTGTATATATGGCAAATGTGGCAGACATTCAATTTAATAAAGCGTTCCAACTTCATTAATAGAAAAATAAGATACATATAATAATAATAATGATCAAAATCTGACAGACAAATTGCTTCATAACTTTCTTCCTTCCTATAGTATATCCTTATATACAATCTATCTTTTATATACTACCACCACTAAATTAATTACTTTTATAAATCCAGTGTTCATCTTGTTGTGCTAATGAGGTATGGCAACTTAGACTGATGCATATATATGCCTGGTCCTACGTTGTAGCTGACTGACCAACTGATGGATAATCAAAACTACATAATCATGGGATTATATTTATTTGAAGGCTTCAAATAAGATAAAAATGATAATGTTTTATAGATTGAAATATTAAGTCTCATATATCTCTCTCATTATGATACCTAAAGAAGAAAGTAATATACAATGATAAAGTCATATGTATGAATCCATAATAATCATAATTCATGTTTATGTATATATATATATGAAGTCAAATAAGCAAGGTTAAGTATATAACATTTGCTTTTTATATGGATTACCAAAATGATGATGATGATGATGAGTACAACTGATCAATTAATAACATAGTGAATTATATACAGTAACACTGATAATACAAATTAAGTGATCTTTATCAATCAAACTGATCATAAATAAGTTATCCGGGAATACTTTTTAGTACAATAATGGGTTGATAAGAAAGTGATATTGTCACTTCTTAAAGCGTGACATATACACCGGTTCAACTAGATGGTTTAATGAGAACAACAATAGATAAAACATTTTATCGCACTAAGCGAAGAAAAGGAAGATCAAAGAACACATTAAGCCGAGAAATAGATACAGGCATAAGAAGAATGAACAAAAGTTAGATAGAACTAGAAAAAAAGGCCCAGGACAGTGTGGGTTGGAGAAAGCTGGTCGGCGGCCTATGCTCCATTGAGAGTAACAGGCATAAGTAAGTAAGCGAATAAGCATCATCATTATGGATTACACCGGGGTTAGAAAACAAGATAGATAAATAACTTATTTACAGCGTAATATATATATATGTCATGATGATGATGTAAATGTACAAGAATATCTGACCTATATTTTCACATTCGACTTATGATGACATAGAGACAAAGAGAAACGAACCAACAATCATAACAACAGAAGTAAAAATACAAAAAAAAAACGAAAATTTACAAAATACAAAAGAACAAGGATAAGAGAAAAAATAAAGAAAAAAAAATCAAAACATTACAATTTACAAAATAATTAATCATTTAATGAAACCGATTGATAATTTGTTGAAGCTGCTAATACAGCAGCATTTAAATCAGCATTACTCGAACTAAAGGAACCACGTCTTGATGTATTCGTTGAATTAGTAGCTGTTGGACATTTACGTAAATGACATATATTATTACGAGAGTATTGACTTAAAGCACCTTGCCAAAATCTTGCAACAGCTGCATTTTCAGCTGATTGACAATTGATTGATGTGAGTACATTTGTCCAACGACGAGTTGCTTCCTCACCGCTCAATGATGATCCCTGTGGTTAAGATTAAAAGAGGGAAGAGATGGCAATTTCATGGAAAAGTAAGGTAACAAACAACGTGAAGACCAAAACGTTAATACGTTAAATCATGAACTGATTTCAATCAGACAATCAGGGGAAACCAGGAAACTAAAGACAAATGTCTTTTCCCACTATGGAACTTCTCAAAAACCTACATTAGCAACTTCACCGAAGACTTAACCCACGAACTTTAGGTTTTACAGTAAACATTTAACCTTTGGATCACTGAGTCTACATTCAGTGATTCACATTTTCAAATATATTCGATTTGCGATACTATACAACTATCTTACTCACACTTGATATGATTGAACTCCACTGGTGTAAATTTCTAATAAGAATCCTGGGAATTACTTGACGGAATCAGACACTAGTGAGTGAATGGCTTGTTAATGTACAACGACTCGTGGAAATTGTAGATGTGAACTATGAAATTTAACAAATCCCATAAAAACCTTAAACTATTAACACTCTGTTTACAATATCATCAGTCAGTCACAACGTAGAACTTCGTACGTACGTACATCAGTTCGAGTTGCCATACCACATTAGCACAGAGATGAAGTTGTTGATTTAAATCCCATAGTGGTAGAAGGAGTAAAAGTATAATCAGTAATCCGAAAGATTAGGGTTCGAAGATGTCATTGAAGGAGTATAATACAGTGAAATAAATGTGGAAAGAGAAAAAAGATAGAGACATGAAGAATTCAGAAGATTAGAATTTAGGAGAACACAAAGAGTGGATGCATCTTCGCCATTGCAAACGATTTTGAGCCATGTCATTCAAGTTCTCTAACCATCGGTTGCTATCATCTTGCGAATCCCAACCAGGTAGTCTACACCTACCAACATGGCCCAGTCCACTTGTCAGCGACTTTATGGATTTATGCCATGTTTTGGTCTGGCCGCCCCTAGCTTTCTTCCAACCTACTCCTATGCAATAAAACATTGCACGTCATAATTGAATAGATACCCGTAATACAGTTCTAAAGTCACTGTTCATTCAAATAATACAATGTCTTTCAATTTAAACTTAAAAAGACGACACTGAATAATGAAATTCACTTTACTGACTGCAAGTGTACACAAGTAATTCATCTATGATAATGACATATATTTAGGAACGACAACTAAACCTACACAAAAATTATAAGCAAAGATGGATGGTGGCTAGCACTGGAATCCAGGAAGCGCGTTTCGTTCTGTCTGAGACTCGTCAGCTGGATGTACCTGCATCTCAGAGTTTATGTTCACTTTGCGACTCGAACCCAGTACCCTTCGCTTCAAACGCCATCGCGTTATCCACTCGGCCACTGAGTCCTGACAGGACGAAACGAGCGTCAAACTGGATTCCACTACTAGTCACTATCCATCTTTACTTATAATGTGTATTTACTTGAACAAATCTACTGAATTAGAAATAAAACCAAATTTGATGAATCAAATCCGAATACACTTACTTGACAACGTTTAAATGAATATAATAAACGTGCACGATGAATCCATTCATGTTGTATGGTGGATAAAGCAAATGTACATACATCAATTGGTAATGCTGGATTAATATTGAATAATTTAATAACTTGTTGTACATAATTCGAGATGGCCATACGTCCACCACTATTAGATAGAAGTTGACGAGCAATGGTAGTAATAGATGGATGATTATTTGAAGTAGAGATATAACGACAAGGTAAAGATTGTTTAAATAAAATTAATTCTGAATCAAATGATGGAATTGTTGAACATAATTTAAAATTTAACTTGAGATTTAAGATTTTTTAAAAAAAAGAAAAGAACAGAACAGTTAATAAATAGATGAATAAAAAGGATACGGAATTGAAATAAAATATTTACAAAATAACATAGGGACAGTACCATTCTGTGGCAACACCATGTTAGTAATGAAGAGGTTCGGTATCGTGTGTTCGGGCGCAGAGACGATAATTCAATTGGTGTCACCATCTTGAAACACCGACTTCGGTGGATTGGACATGTTCTACGAATGTCGTCCCAGAGACTTCCACGTCGTGCATTATTTGCCGACCCTGGGACTGGTTGGAGTAAGCGGAGAGGAGGTCAGTGTATGACATGGTGTCGTGGCATGAAAGAGAGCTGCAAGGGGCTAGCTTCCGTTGGTCCTTCACGACTCCCTGGTTGGGGTTCGAGAGATGGTGCAACACAGTGGCTAGAGACGTTATCAGATATGGCTCAGAATAGAAGCCAGTGGCGAGCCTGCTGTAACCTTTTACTTTCTTCATAAAGAGTGGTTATAACTTTCTTAAATGAGAGAGCTCTTCTGGTTGAACATTTCAGTTCCACCCCCATCATTACTCTTCTTTTTTTCTTTCTTTTATATATACACATCTTCTTCCTTCTCCTCCCATTCTCATTATTTTGTGTGGTGCATATGTATCCGGTGCCCTCTGTACCAATATATGTGATTAAATAAATAACCATTCTGTTATGATTAGTGAGATGATAGTAATCGATGTTTAGAGAACTTGAATGACATGGCTCAAAATCGTTTGCAATGACGAAGGTGCATCCACTTTTTGTGTTCTATTAAATTCTAATCTTCTGAATTATTCATGTCCCTATCCTTTTTCTCTTTCAAAATTTATTTCATTGGATTATACTTCTTCAATAACATCTTCAAACCCTAATCTTTTGAATTACTGATTATACTCTTACTACTTCTATCACTATGGAATTTGAATCAACAACTGTATCTCTGTGTTAATGTGGTATGACAACTCGAACTGATGTACCTACGTACGAAGTTCTACATTGTGACTGATTGACTGGATTCTGAATTATTCCAATTGAAGAACATTACCATGAGACTTGACTGTTTTGCGCCTCAGTCGTAATGGAGTCATGGACGTGCACTACAAATAAGTTTATACTAGAAGGAATAGATAAGTGACAATGTATTAAAAGTGACTGTGACAAAATAAATGTGAATATCGCTAGCACGAATAAAAGAGAGGAGCAGGAACGTTTACTTCAACGAATCAAGTGATAATCTTAAGGAGCCATTCGACGAGCCTCTAACCAAAAGGTCTAATTCACAAGGTGCTGGAGTAAAGTCAGGAAATATAATCCCGTGGTAGCCGGTGACCAAAATGCACTCATACCCTATTTGTTCTTTTAAGACGTAGGAACACGTGTACCATTAGTTTAAGATCAGAGTTCTCCAACTACCCTAGGTAGGTCCTTTGCAAACAACAACCGAGTTTAGGCACCGGAAGTTCATCTTTCATCCTCATACTCTCACAAACAAAACTCCTGACAGCGGCTATATGATTTTCTGGGGGGGGGGGAATAGGCATCTTCCTATCCTCAACCATATAAGACAATTTATAGAGCAATTATACCATGTTCCCCAGTTTTTACGGTCGTCTAAATAAGATCACTTCATGAATTCTGAATTCTAGTACGTTGATTGGTTTTCTAACTCATTCAATATTGAGATATCAATAGTTGGTGTTCATTGGTTTAACCAGTCTAAAAATCTATCACGAAACATTTATCCAGTTTACTATTATTATTGCCTAGTTTTAAGTAATACCGGGTAAGTAATAGTTAGGTCAGACACAGGGTATTAGGGGATGATGGTAAATCAGATGATGTGGTGATGAATCTTCATCGACTGAGATGGTTGGGCCACGCGTTACGTATGCCAGAACACCGATTACCACGACGCGCAATGTTGACTAGTGTAGGAGATGGTTGGAAGGTTAGAAGCAGCCAAACCAAAACATGGCATCAGAGCTTGAAGTCACTAACTTCTAGTCTGATTCATGTTGGTAGATGCAGACTACTTGGTTGGGGTCCACGTGACTATCGTAACCAGTGGTTTGAGACTCTGTATGACATGGTTCAGAATCGATTACAGTGGCGTAGGTGTATACACTCTTTATCTTCCCTTAAACCTTGAGATTAAAATTGCTCCATAACGTTCTTCCTTCCTATACTATATCCTTATATACAATCTTTCTTTCATATATTACCACCACTAAATTAACTACTTCTATGAATCCGGTGTTCATCTTGTTGTACTAATGAGGTATGCCAATTTGGACCGATGTCTGGTCCTACGTTGTAGCTAACTGAATATGTTGTTTTATGATGAAAATAAATGGAGTTGGTGTTGTTGTTTTCAAGCATATTGAAAAATTAAAAGTTGTGCATATGTCATATTTGTTGTAAATATAAAAAATTAATACAAGAATTCAAACAATGAATTAGATTTAAACTTCACTAAATTAAATAAGCCCATTGAATTAGTTACATAATCATATTATATTAACACTTTATACAAAATATAGAACTTAAAGCCTATCAATTTTAATTGGTTATTACATAATTATCCTTCAAAAGAACGGCTACCTAATCAAATTCACCAAAAAATATCAACCGCACGCGTCATCAGAAACAAAGTCATGTATAGAAATTAACAAAATGATCACCCTATCATACATAACAGGTATATCAGAAACGACAACAAGACTGTTGAAAACCTTCAGAATAGCTGTTGCTTACAAGCAAACAAAATCCCTCAATTCAATCTTATGCAAATCAAAGGACAAAATGACAAAAGAACACAAACCAAACATAATCTACACAATAAACTGTGTCAACTACGAAAAACACTACATTGGACAAAGAGGACGCCCTCTTCATCTTCGCCTGTATGAACATCAATTAGCAGCCAAACGCCATGACATGTCTTCACTTACATCAATGCACGTGGACAACTGCGGACACATTCGACTGGAAAAATGTGGAGATTATGGATAGAGACAATTCCAAGAACACCAGAGAATTTTTAGAAGCTTGGCACTCAGATCAATTAGTGATCAACAAGCACATTGAAATTGATCCAATTTATAAACCAATCAGAAAAATTATAGACAAGTATAGGACCATAAATCAAATCAATCGGAAATACAATCGAAATAGAGCAGTAAACAATGACAGGTTAAAGGTCAACAAGAACCAATCAACATCGAGGTCTAAAGGACAAGCTGTGAGCTATATGTGAAGAAATTCGAACACTTCACTTTAACCTAAAGTTTGTGATGATGTCAATTAGAATAACGTAGAAAACTCCACGACTAAACCATCCAGCTCAGAGAACAAAACTCCATCAAAATCATCCACCTAAGCTACAAATCTTCTCCACCATTTCAATACCATTCATTTAACTTGTTGTAGGTTGTTCACCAAGGAGTTTGTAACATCAACTTCAGTGCACTGAAAACATATTCAAACTAGTTGAATGAAACTGTACATAGTTTGTTTGAATCTTCACATCGATGTGTTAGGACTGCAACTGGTCAGTTTCTAATTGGCATACGTGCATACTGTGCGTATTGCCTTGATATAGCTTTAATTCACAAGCATGGTAAGCAAAGATGGATAGTGGCTAGTAGTGGAATCCAGTTTGACGCGCGTTTCGTCCTATTTGTACATAGTTATTGAGTTATATATTTATTTCTATTGAAGTTTTACATCATGGTAGAAGTCAATAATAAACAGTTTTAATATTCATTGACAGATTGTAGTTTTACATATATTGGAAAAAGTTTACCAATTCAACTACCATTAAGCTTACTACCATATATATATATATATATATATATATATATATATATATATATAATGCAACACAATAGGTTAGTCAGTGAATAGGGGAATATAATATTTATGTTTAGACGATTTAGTACAAATATAGAAAAAAAAGGTTTTTATATTCATATATACGCTTCGCAAGTGATGGTTTAGTGGTTAAATTACTCAGTTTTGAACCAACAAGTGATCGTCAGTTCGAATCCAACTCTATCTGGTACCGTTTACGTAGTTAGGTAATTATCTTACTAACTCATTTTTCTCTTACTCCAAAGAGTGTAAACAAATAGCTGAGTAATAAAAAAAGCCTTTAATATTTGATAAATCAGGCATACATGAAACAAGAAAAGCTTCTTATATATTTATCAGAAAGGGTTTTTGTAAAGATTTAGTATTTTCATAGTTGAAAGCGTGAGTCAATTGAAGCTAGACCACCAGGGAAAACCTGGAAGCACTGGACGACCGTTTCGTCCTATTGTAGGACTCCTCAGTAGTGCACATCCATGACCTCGCCTCTCGAGATTCGAACCCAGGACCTACCAGTCTCGCTTTCAACTATGAAAATACTAAATCTCCACAAAAACCCCTTCTGATAATAAAAATAATAATAATAATAATATGCTCAATAGTGACTGAATTCGAGAGGTAACTCCAGGAGTTCTAGTGAGAATCAGTGACCAGTGGAGTTCAAATCATGTCTGTTATGAGATAGAAACTCACTGAAGACAATTAATGAACGGTTGCTCAACTTCGTGGATTGGTTGGAGTTAGACATAAACACCATCGGATGCCGGCCGACTTAGTGGTCTATCGGTTAAATGCTCTGGCACAAGACTAGTTCAAATCTCTTATATATTTACATACTAATAAAACGTGAATTATTTTAATTTTAAGTATGTACAAGATAAGAATACTTACAGAATTGACATATGATTGTAGAAAATATTCTTCATTACTTTCATTAGATGTTATTGTTGTATCATTTAATGAAAATGATGATGATAATGATGATTTACATTCACAACGATATACAGCTAAATAAAGAACATCTTTAGCCATATTTACATCTTCTTCTAACATTAATAAATTATTTGTTACACTTAATAGATTACAACGAAATGGTGCCAAATATTCATGACTTGCTATTACCTTTAAAAGTAGAGAGAAAATATTTAAAAGAGAAGTAATAGTAGTATTGACAGCTTGTTATATTATAATTAAAATCATTAGTATTATGATCATTAGCAATCCTCAAATCAAAATGAGAATTTCAACTTTTTTTATTGAATTTTCTAAACTGAGATGTTATCGCAAACTGACAACACCTGTTTTGTGACTGTTGAGAGGTTCAAACAAATAGAGAGAATGACAAAAGTCAATATAGAGGCTGGCATAAATGTGAGTCTGTCCTATTCGCCATACCCGACTAGTACATTATAATATCTAGAATGATACAGACACCATCATCGATGGCATCGGATCATTGGGGTGATATATTATGAATTAATCGAATGTAGTTGAAAATATGAATTTAAAAAATTCATTCGCTGAGATTTTACAAATATATTATTCCTATTTAATGTCTATGAATTATTCTGTTACAATTCAAAAAAGGTTTAAAAACATAAATCACAAAGAAAATTGGTAGTCAAAGGTAAGAATCCTGGTAAAGTTATGTATACCAAGCTCCTATAACGAATCAAACAAAGATGAAACAACGGTCCAGTTACTCCATGTGATTTTATATTGACGTCTAACCCACCACTGACATTCTTTTCTCGAAGAATACAAATTGAAAAAAGTGAACGGGTTACTATTTTATTCAGTGATCACGGTCGTTTTAGAATACTTTGATTCCATTTATGTATCATGCATAGATGTAGCAAGTGTAGAAATTTCAGATAATGAAATTGATATAACCTGATATCTTCATACAGTTAATTAATACATACGAATGACAGTTGAAAAGATACTAAAAATGTCATTTGACCATACATATGAGATGGATAATCTCTTGAATTTGAACGGAATACTTAGTAAGGAACTGATAATTCAACTTGGATTGAATTTAATCCATATTCATCAAGTAACTACTGCATACTGTATATACTTTAAACTTATAATACATTTAATGATCCAATCTTATAGACGATGTTCAACTGTAGAACGCATTGTGCAGATTAAAAATAGTAGCTAAATACTATTATAAAGACACTAATGGCGAGACTACAATTTATGGACGACCTTTGAACGAATGTTAAGTGACCTTGAGAAATGTTAGCCAATCAGTAAACAGTCAGTATAGAGTAAATATATATTATACAAAACCAAATAATTAAAGTGGATACACTTCTTTTACATGGTCCGAAAACTTGTCAAGGTTAGAAAAAAAGTCCAAAGGTTCCAAAATCATAATGCATAAGGTAGGGGAACTCATCCATATGGCTCCATAATACTCAGTCTCTGGAAACATGATAACGTCATAAAAACCCTCACAGCCTCGACCACATAGCTTCATTATTGTTTGTTTGTACTCTGGTTGTGTAAGTTTATCATTTTTATTATGGATATGTCCATACATTACTCATACTACTGAACAGCCGAAGCTTCAGTAACATCTGCGATTATTGCTGACAATGTTACTGGTGCTTTTATTATATAGTTGGCGGCAATCATTATAATATGCCTTAGTCTCAATCTGGATCGAGCGATAAGGGTTCTTATTCTAACAAACGTCTTCCTTTAACATATATTATATCGAAGGACATCACGGTAGTCTGCACAAGGTCTACAAGTCATTTAATACTCGTAATTACGAATACAGGAACTTCTTAGTAGTTTCATTTGTTGTAGCCGCTTAATTGTCAAGTCTTCTCTAAAATTCTTTGTGAACCGACCGTACATGAGCATCAGGTACTGAAATAAGTGCCGTGACGTTGAAATCCCTCAAACGCTTCTGATTGACTCGTTCATAAATTTTAGTCTCGTCGACACTGATCTTTACTGGAAAATAAAACATGCAATAGAATAGATAATACTGCAGTCAAGTACAGTAACCTTTAAAAATGATTCCTAAGAAATCGACTTTTGTCTGATTCGCTGTATTTTTATTGACAGTTGTTGAACTGATATCTGGTATTTAGAATACTTCCAATTTTAGTTAGTTAGGAGATTAGATTTATTGATGTTCACTCTGGGATAACGCGATGGCATTTGAAGCGAAAAGTACTGGGTTCGAGTCCTAGAGTGATCATCAACTCTGAGATGCAAATACATCCAGCTGACGAGTCCCAAATAAGACGAAACGCGCGTCCTGGATTCTACTGCTAGCCACTATCCATCTTTGCTTACCAATCATTTCAACTATTGTGTGAAGTTTTGTTTTGAGTTCTCGGTCTAATAATAGATATTTTTAAACTAATTATTCAACCTATTAATAGATATCAGAATATGAATATAATGGTTGAATGGTTGAAATAACAAACTATTTATAAAACGAGTTTTAGGTTTTAATCGTACCATGGTTGGGTAATGCATGTTAACAACACACACACAACCTTGGATCAAAGTTCCGCATACATAAACATATACTTGGTTGGTGAGTTACATGATATTATTATACGAAATTGAATATACACGGATACAAAACAAAAACAGACTATACTCAGAACTAACCTGTCTAATACATCCTTTCGGTAATAGTTTAGCTAATGCAGACAATGTCAGTGTAGAGTGTATATCTTCAGTTAATGATTGTACAACTAATTGATTTCCAACAGCTATATGCTGAACTAATCGACTAAATGGATTGATACCAAGTACAGCGAATAGTCTGGATAAGATCATGAAAGAACTAGTATCGAAAACGAGAGTGAAAACAGGAATAAGAAATGTGATAAAAATGGAGGTTTTAAATTTGTTAATGTAAGTATAAAATTCAATATTTAGGTGCACAAATAAAAATGCAACTCTTTGTATTACACTATATTTTTTAGATGGGGTTAGAAATCAAGAATAATCCGACTCCATAACTACTGGGATAAGCAAATAATTGTTGATGGATATTTCGTGCTTCCGCTTTTCAACTAAATAATATTGACATGAAGGACAAAATGTACGTGATAAGATCATCAATCAGAACACGACTTATACAATCTTAGTACTGTGCCAAACCAATGACTTATTGACCGGTATGAGCACCCTAGTATCCTGATTGGTCCTTTCCCTGCCTAGCTCTGCCAGTTGAATCTAGAAAACTAATATCAGCTTCCACAATGTGATTCATATATTTCAGACATACTTGGTTTATATACAAAGATACCAGACCACATTATACCATAAATATAAAAAAAATAACAATTGTATAAGATCAAGTCAAAAGGTGGCTGTGATTGTGAGACTAATTAATAACCTGGGGTATAACTTAAGGATGCCCTGGTACGGCCGAGAGTGGGGAGAGTCACCTCTCTCTCGAAATGCTCTCATATGGCCAGCGAATATATAGCCTCTGCCAGGGAAGTCCTACTCACTGCCTTCTCGTGGCACCGGTGTTGTTTACGAAAGTGAGAGGGCGAAAAGCGAATGTCAGGAGCTTTAAACGCGTTGGTGGACACGGAGAGTCCACCTAGGGGAGTTGGAAAACCCTGATTCCAAACCAATGCTCCACATGGGCTCCAGTATCCTGAAGGAACAAATGGCGTACGAATCAACCGTTGATCACCGGCTACCATGGGACTACATCTCCTCACGATGCTCCATTGCCTTGTGGATCAGACATTCAGGTCATAGGCTCCGGGTGTGGCCCCCTAAGAAAACCACCTGCTTCAGTCTGGGCACCTGGGCAGTATCACAGCCTTCACACAAATCGAATGAGATTTGTGAGGCGCATATTTATCTGGTGCTTCATTGTACCAATATTTATGTGTTTAAATAAATAAAATAAATAAGTCAATACGTCAAATAAAAACTTATGATTGAAGGAATATAAATATATATCATCTAGTCACTTAACAGTTATATAATAAGAATATACGCGTAATATTAGCTCATAAATAGAATCTAGCGGTTAGTATTCAATTAATTTTTGTCCGCATATAACACTTCTACTGTTATTAAATTGTCTGAACAAGACAGTTAAACAGTGACGTTTTCATTTCACCAGAACAAACCAATGTAATTCTTATCTAAACACATGTGTACATTATCACTGCAGTATCCCAGCTACGTGAATGTTTCCACCTCTTCCAGGTGGAAACATTGATAAACAAGGAGGATCGGATGCAGATGTAAAGGCGAGGATTGGCAAGGCAATGACCGCATTTCTACAATTGAAGAACATATGGAACTCAAAACAAGTGTCAACTAATTTCAAAGTCAGAATCTTCAATACGAACGTCAAGACAGTCCTACTGTACGGAGCTTTGTTTTGATCTATAGAATATTATTATACAATTTACTATTCTTAAACTATATTCAGGTTATTTTAATTACAGTCTCCCACGATCACAGACACTTTTTGGCTTGATCATGTATAAATGTTATTGCATATTTTATAGTGTGATGTGGTCTATTTGGCGGGTATACATACCAAGTATGTTTGAAATAAATTATTCGCATAGTGGAAGCTGGTATTGGTGTTCTGGACTCACACAGAAGGGCTAGCAGGAAAAAGGACCAATGAGAACGTTATGCTGTTCATTCCGGTCAAAAGTCATTGGTTTAACACAGTGCTAAGGCTGTATAAGTCGTATTTCGATTGGCAAATAAATCACGTAATAATTAGCTGAGCTTGAAGTCACAAAATATAGGTTAAATGTCAAGTATATGTTTCACGGTAAGCACGTTGCTATTTAACCATAGTTCAAATTTAATAGTCTATTCGAAATAAAGAACGACCGTTGTTTTGGTCAATTGTTACTATGCTATCCGACAAGGAGGGAATAATGAACTACCATGTTAAAAAATTGAATCAAAAAATAGTCGATCAATATTTCATTACTACTGACAACCTTGCTATTCACGTCGATCCATACTAGGGCAACAAATTCCTAACAGAAAAATAAAGTGAATTCAGAGGTGAACAATTTATGATCACAACAAAACTAACACCAGATTAATAATCAGTTTATAAATTGTTGCACAGTTAATAGAACGGTAGACTGATAAATTCGTATACAAGCGATGACAATTCTGATAACAAATGGAAAGCCCTGTTTCATTTATTTTAGTTTAGGTAACTAGTATATCAATATAATGAAAAAGTGTGACTTGAAGGCAAGTACAAGAATCGATAACTACATAGTGGTATATCTATCACTAGCTCATCCTCTCTGTCTCTTTCTCTATACTTTAATCACACAACTGCGATTTTCGCTCAACTTCAAAATATGTATAAACTGTTACAAGAGTACTTTTTTACAAATATTAGGAACGCTTACATGGAATTCGCCATTTCTACTGACATATTGTTTAAATAAAGAGGTAATTTTTTGTTATTATCTGTTTCAATTGAATCTCTTGTACTATTTGTTGTTGAATGATTTAATGATTTTGATAATAATGTAGAACCACTTGATTGACTAATACAACTCATACTATTACCAAGTTTATGACTAGGTAAATTAAAAGTGTTAGCAGTGGCAGCGACGGTAGAGGCAGTAGCATTTCTTGAACTAGATGTAGTTAAACATTCAAAACCAGCTGAAATATAGGCTTCGTATTCTTCTTGAGCTACAATTGAATCTTCATCAACTGGTGGTGCAATAGAAGGAGGAACTATACTCCATCGACGGCCAGCAGCACGAAGTAACCATGTGAACCAAGCATGTAGACGATAAAATATCTGCGAATGAATTTAGTTAAATTTAGTAGTTACACATTAAGTAAAGAATTCGAAAGTTGTTTTAATAATCAAAGATTATGATGAAATAATTCACATTCAGTATGTAAATGATGAAGGTAACTAATCAGTACAATGGTAACTGATTTTAGATTCATATACCTCAACCCTGAAGGTTAGTCATTTTGTGTACCAGAACTAGTAATAACATTGACAATAGAACTTTTGTCTGTAGAATTAATTGTCATTTTGAAAAAAAAAAATAGTAAGCGGTATGGGAATATACGGCTGATTAATTTGTTAGTATTTGGAATACCATTAAAACAACTGTAGCATAGAGGTTAATATTCACATCCAACCCGCATGAATGAACACTTTTCAAAATTCCACTTTGCACTCCTTACGTAGAATAATATTCATCATTTTAAAAATGATAAGATCGATTATGATTGTTGTATTTTATTTTTATTTAATTATTTAAACACATACATATTGGTACAAAGGGATACCAGATACACCAAAACGCCAGCCTGCTTGAATACCTGGGTTACCTGTTACTGCCATCTAAATATCTCAACAAGTTATCTGGGTTTTTTAATTTGTTTTAACTTACCATTGTCTATTAATCGCATAACCTATACAGGCGCTTTTATGAAAAGCCTACGTCCTTTCGCTGCAAAAATCACAAACAAGTACAATAAGAGACATCGTGGTGGTTGGCAATATGCATTAAAGAGAATGAACATTAATCAAATGTCGATTCCAGAGCTGCTTAATTCTAACTGTCGATCTCTTATTAAGGTGGACTATTTCCAATTTCTGCTAAGTCAAAACATGTATCGTAGATGTGGTGTCATTATCATTCAAGAATCTTGGTTAACTGACTTACAGGATGATTGCTTAGTATCATTACGTGATTTTAATATCTATCGTCAGGATCGATCAAACAATAAAAAGACTTGTGGTGGCGGAGTAGCTACGTTTGTAAACGTTAACTGGTGTCGATCTACTTTTGTCTGTTTAAAGTTTTCAAATGACTTTACTGAGTGTCTAAATTTAAGGTGCCGTCCAAAACACCTGAATAAATACAAATATATTTATGTTACCAATATCTACATGACTTCAGACTGCACATCATCTGAGCAATCTGTCTCCGCTGATAAATTTACTGAATTCGCCGTTACTACATTCAGTGATTCACTTTCAACTGTATGTGGTGATTTCAATTCATGTGACTGTAGCTTCCTTACATCACTTGGTCACATAATTGTAGTAGATTATACTACTCGTTTGAATGCTCAACTAGACATCGTTCTCATTATTGATGTGGGCACCTATGTGAATCTCAAACGTGCTCCATTGTCTAGCTCGGATCATTGTATAATTCGTGTTCTACCTAAAATATATATGGTAAACATGGAAAGAGTACACACATACACCATACCAAAAAAGTAATATACATGAATTACTCAGAAGAAAATTTACAAAATTTAAAAAACATGTTTCGTACGACCAACTGGGAATTATTTACAGATGACTCAATAGAAAACACAACTGATGTTATCACCTGTTATCTTAAATTCTGTTTTGATATTTGCTGTCCTACCGAAACCTTCTTTTTAAGTTTTGATCGACTTACATCTCCACAACTAAAACGACTACGGAGGGTAAAAGAAAAGATGTACAAGGAGAAAAATACTATTGAAGTTCATAAGTCAAATAAACCAAGAGATTAGACGTCTCAACTCTGTGTTTACTCAAAAACTCCTATCTTGTAAAAGCTCTCCAAGTATGTGGAAACTCTTTAAAGAAATTACAGGGGACAGGCAGACTAGAAACAATAACCAGCTGAATGTTTGTGACTTAAATAAGTCCTTTATACGTCAGTCATCTGACATAATGCTCCCTATATCCAAGGGTCTGAAGAATAATTGTATTTTCAGTTTCACTGAAAATGATGTCCGAAAATGTCTCCAGTCACTTAATTCATCCCCATGTTTAGGACGTGATGGTATCTCAAACCTTTTTAACAAATGTGCTGATGTTTTATGTTATCCATTAACGAATATCTTTAACAGTTCCTTCTCAACTAATTTCTTACCGAAAATGTGGAGAAAGATAAAGATAATCCCTATACCAAAGAAAGCTTATGGTGATAAAAATGTGAAACTTAGACCCATTGCAATAACTTCACCTTTCCTCAAAATAATGGAAAAATTACTGATACAACCACTTCAACCTGCAATAAAAGAGCATTGTGATCCATATCAGTTTGCTTACAAATGCAAAAGAAGCACTTTAGACGCCGTTGCTGTTCTGCATTACACTATAGTGTTCGGGTTAGAAAAGGGTAAGAAGTATGTTAGATGCGCTTTCCTGGACTTTACTTCTGCTTTTGATTCTATTCCAAGACACCTCTTACTTAACAAGCTGATCAGCGTCGACACTGACAGCTGGATAAACAATTGGCTATGTTCCTACCTTTCTGGAAGAGAACAGTACACTGTATTTAAAGAAAAGTGTTCAACATCTCTACTGTCTACTGTAGGTGTGCCACAAGGAGCTGTTCTTTCACCTCTACTCTTCTCTTTTTTTCTGCATGATCTGCCATCTTCCACAGAAAACACTTTTGTAAAATATGCGGATGACCTCACTGTATGTATGCCGATTTCTACCTCCTTACATCCCATAGAAATGAATGAGTTCTTATCTCGTATTGAAAGGTGGTCTGTTGGTAATGGTCTCTTACTCAATCCATCTAAATTTCAACCTGTTAACTTTAGCTTGAGAGATGGACAGAACCTATACTCTATTTTGGGATCTCATAATGCTTGTGCCATTTGAGACTCCTTAATAAACACAGTGTCGAAGGTCAAATGTCTTGGTGTTATTTTTTTCCTCTGATCTTTCTTGGTCTTCTCATGTTTTACTGTTATCGAAAAAAGTTTACCGTTTGACATACTACATAAAGAGGCTGCATGCTTTTGGGATTACTCACCATTTACTCTTACAATTTGTAAATTCCTTCATATTACCTATTATTCTATATTGTTCTCCATTATTCTTTCCCGGGCTTTTGAGAAAAGACTTTGCTGTTTTGCGTAGAGTGCTGAAGGCGGTTTGCAAGGTATGTGGTGAATCTTTTGAAGTCATTATTAATATGCTTGTGGATAGACATCTTAAGTCTTGCAAACTCTTGACAGATGTTATCTTATCAGATACTAACCATCCACTTCATTCATATCTTTCTCCTTGTAAATTTTCTGGTAGAACAAGACGTAAATACATTAAAATCCATGCACGCAAGCAAATCTATAAAAGTTCTGTAATACCTTACTTAGCAAATATACTTTGTGACGAACAGGCTGTTAGAGTTGATCTAGTAAATAACCTGTACTCTTAAGCATGTTTCAAATTTCATAATTTGTATAAACTAAGTTTTTTTTTCTTAAAACGTTTTCATTCGTTTTCTGTTTTTTTTTGTTTGTTTTTCTTGGGTTTTTTTGTTTGTTTTTTTGGTAAAAACTTGTTGAAATAACTCGTCTTGAGAATTCTATATTGTACCAGATTATAATATTGAATAAAGCTATTAAAAACATTAATAATGCTCCATTGCCTTGTAGATCAGACCTTTAGGTCAAATGCTCCACCTAAGGTCCCCTAAGAAAACTATTTGCTTCAGTTTGGGCACCTGGGTAGTATCACAGCCCTCATAATCTGGTACAATATAGAATTCTCAAGACGAGTTATTTCAACAAGTTTTTACCAAAAAAACAAACAAAAAAACCCAAGAAAAACAAACAAAAAAAAAACAGAAAACGAATGAAAACGTTTTAAGAAAAAAAAACTTAGTTTATACAAATTATGAAATTTGAAACATGCTTAAGAGTACAGGTTATTTACTAGATCAACTCTAACAGCCTGTTCGTCACAAAGTATATTTGCTAAGTAAGGTATTACAGAACTTTTATAGATTTGCTTGCGTGCATGGATTTTAATGTATTTACGTCTCGTTCTACCAGAAAATTTACAAGGAGAAAGATATGAATGAAGTGGATGGTTAGTATCTGATAAGATAACATCTGTCAAGAGTTTGCAAGACTTAAGATGTCTATCCACAAGCATATTAATAATGACTTCAAAAGATTCACCACATACCTTGCAAACCGCCTTCAGCACTCTACGCAAAACAGCAAAGTCTTTTCTCAAAAGCCCGGGAAAGAATAATGGAGAACAATATAGAATAATAGGTAATATGAAGGAATTTACAAATTGTAAGAGTAAATGGTGAGTAATCCCAAAAGCATGCAGCCTCTTTATGTAGTATGTCAAACGGTAAACTTTTTTCGATAACAGTAAAACATGAGAAGACCAAGAAAGATCAGAGGAAAAAAATAACACCAAGACATTTGACCTTCGACACTGTGTTTATTAAGGAGTCTCAAATGGCACAAGCATTATGAGATCCCAAAATAGAGTATAGGTTCTGTCCATCTCTCAAGCTAAAGTTAACAGGTTGAAATTTAGATGGATTGAGTAAGAGACCATTACCAACAGACCACCTTTCAATACGAGATAAGAACTCATTCATTTCTATGGGATGTAAGGAGGTAGAAATCGGCATACATACAGTGAGGTCATCCGCATATTTTACAAAAGTGTTTTCTGTGGAAGATGGCAGATCATGCAGAAAAAAAGAGAAGAGTAGAGGTGAAAGAACAGCTCCTTGTGGCACACCTACAGTAGACAGTAGAGATGTTGAACACTTTTCTTTAAATACAGTGTACTGTTCTCTTCCAGAAAGGTAGGAACATAGCCAATTGTTTATCCAGCTGTCAGTGTCGACGCTGATCAGCTTGTTAAGTAAGAGGTGTCTTGGAATAGAATCAAAAGCAGAAGTAAAGTCCAGGAAAGCGCATCTAACATACTTCTTACCCTTTTCTAACCCGAACACTATAGTGTAATGCAGAACAGCAACGGCGTCTAAAGTGCTTCTTTTGCAT